TCCATTTCACTGGCGGGAATGGCAGCGATGGATCGTGCACTTAATTCTGGGCCCGACAAACTTAAGGAATACGAACCAGTGAGACGGTAAAATTGCGCGCTCGAGTGACAAAGATCAATCGACCGTAAAGATCATTTATTCTGGACTTCAATTGTAGGAGATAGTACCTGACGCCTTGAAGACGGCTTAAAGATGCCTTAGACCTCAAATAGCCGTACAATAGGCGTTTTCAAGGCGTCATGTGCTGTCTGGGGAGTGAGAATGTACACGTCTAACAAAAATATATAAATAGTTTCTAATGTCAAGTAGACAAAATGTAACCATAAGTGGAAATAAAATTTTTAAAAAATTAATATTATATGCTAATTTCCGAGGGGTTAACGAAATCTACCGCGGTCAGACGTCGATAGTATAAATCAGCATCAGAAAACTAACCGCGAATCTAGGCGAACAATGGCACTGACACGTTTCGCGAGAAAAGACAAGGTCGGCCGGCACGATGGTAAACCAGTTTTCGTTTTCAACGAAACACAGAAGAAGCACACCATACAGTTATTAAAGGCTTATTTTCTGCTGACTAAGGACGCGCCATAGCTTTGCGCTCGACGTGTCGATTGATCAATCGATGTCATTACGAACGATCCTTCCGTGTGTTTAACGTCACGTCAAGGATCCTCGACGACCTTGATTCCTACGCGAGGCTGGGCATTGTTCGTAACAGATCTAGGCTAATTTTATTTGAAATGAAAATACGAAATAATTATTTGAAATAATGTTATTTCAGACGTTATTGGAAATCATATGTCAAATAATATCATTTTATAAGTGCCCAGGTCTGGTTTGTCTCAGGATTATTGCTATAACAACGATTTAATAGAAATTCCTTAACGTTCATTGTTTTCTAATTTTAGTTTTGCAAACTTATAAACCCTTAACATTTTTCGTCCCCCGACGTAAATTATAATACGACAGTATTATACCTAATTTTTAAATAAAATTTACAAACGTAACTGATTAATAGTAGACAGTTTTCAAATCAATATACATATACGTCAGAGACGAGGTTTAGCGAAGGCAGTTTATCCGCTGTTAAATGTCATTCCACTTGTAAATTAAGAATTTATGAACTCTTGTATTTTTAGTTTTGCATGTCCAATTTGACGTTCTGTGATTTACTAATGTTCGAGCTACCTGGAGCTACCGAGTTCGAGATATTTAGTGACAGTCTATACAACCATGGCGCCAAAAATGAATAATTTAAAACAAAACTATCGTTCCGAAAGAGGGCATTTTAATAATTAATTTATGACATTTTTAGCTATCGTCTACGTTCAAGAAGACACGAGCTCCCTGGGTAAAAAAATTACATAACCAACAATTCACGAAATTCTCGAACGATCAAAAGTTCCCTTTTTTTAATGGGATTTCTTGTGGGTCGGTCGCTTTGCTCCGAAAGCCTTGATGTTTTATTCACGAATGCTTGGTCACATAAAACGCCACACGTGCGAGTTTTCGCGTTCAGGGTCCATTTACCTTCAGTCCCTTTTGTGCCATCGCCGCGACGAATTTGCTCTAATACGTTATTCACGATTTCCCATTTTTGCAATTTACCACGCGCGTGTTTCCTTTGCAAATCCTTGCTCTTTCTTTTCGTCGTCATTCCGTGAACACGGTTTTATGTATTCAAGGCGTCGAACGGATGCAAATGCGGACCGCCCAGATCATGGTCGTGGCTTTTCAAACAAGATGGCGATGGTTTGTTTCTAGAGTAGGACACACAGATTGTGCGACAAGGTAAAGAACAATGGAAATTTTCGGTCATCGTGAAGTCTGTGGTATTAGATAGTATATACCGGATGGTAAAAGAAAGAATATAAGACTTTATAGTACTCAAATTACCCTGTGTGACATAACTATAGAACCACCCTAAAATTTTCAATTCTTATGTATTGTGGTAACAATAATAACCAAAACAAACCAAGCATACCATGTGTGAAATCTTGTTGGGAAACAGTGTTTCTTCAGAAAAGAATAGATTATATTGTCTAGAAAAACAGTGATTAATTTTTAGTTTAAACATAATACATAAGGATTGCAAATTTTAGTGTGTCTTCGACCCCCTGATGAAGCTAGCTGCAATGCTTGCGAAACGTTGGGAAAACATTTCCACAAGGACGCGATTTACACCCGAAAACCTCAACAATGAGAACTGTATGATGCTGGGTCGTGAAAGCCTTAAACCTCTGATCGTCTGGCTTGTTCTACACGATTATTGTCCAGCCGTTATCCCCACCACTGGGGGGCATAGAACCTGTCAAGCGCATACTATGTTGCCGAGGCTCGGGCTTCGGGCAAAAAACGTATTTACAAGGGTCTGAAGATTTCCCCCTACTCGACTATTGTCCCGGCAACTGAAGAGAAGGCCCTACACTGTCACAAAAAGTCAATTGGGACTATAGGAAATTAAAAAATGTTCGGCGATGCTACAAGAATTTCTGTCACTTTCAGCATTTTTGCATAGTATTAAACTCACCTATTCCGCGAAATTCTGTCACTGGCTAAAATCCACAAAATTTTCACGCACAAAACGAGTATTTACCAAAAAATTCACAAAGACACAGTGAGTATCCATAAAAAAAGTTTGCCACTACTTACACAACGAATATCCACTAAAGAGTTCAATTTGCAATTTAAATAAAAAACAAAATAGCGAATGTCTATTTAAGAATTAACACATACACGATGAGCGTTCATCATGAAGGTTACAAATACACTGTAAGTATCCGTACCAAAGTGGCTAGACATTAACTATGCACTAAACAAAATTAAACTGAATTCCACGGAAGAAACAGTGAAAAAATCGGTAGGGAAATACGTTCGAAACCGCGTTGCAGACCCTTCGAGGAGATATTGTAAGACTAACTGTTAAGAACTTACTTGGAAAAAGGCAGTCCTCTGCAGATCAATCCCCACTTTTCTTAGGTCATTGTTTACACCGGCGAAAATCGAATGGGAGAAATGTCCTCGCATCGTGCAGCCTTTTGTTTGCATTACCTGAACATCTGCCGGACATTTGGGAACGTTGGCGACCTTTTCGAAAACTTCACTTAATATTTAAATTATGCAAACAGACATTCAATTTCAAAACAGTAAAATTTACAATCTTTTAAATTCAATTGACACTAAATTAGTCATCCATATAATAAGTATAGAATGCAACATAATAAATATTTTGATTTTTCATATAAAAAATTGTATAACATACGATCGCGATATTGTCACAACAATGAAAAAATCGGCAGTCAATGTGTTAAAGCTGTCTGTCGTGGGTCGGTGTATTATTAAAATAACTTCTCAGTATGAAATTTGAGTTTTACCAAAGAAAATAATCAACATTCATATTGAACAGGTAAACACTTGCCGGAAAACAAGCCTATCTCTTGCGAAATTTCAGATTTGTGTTTTCTATTGTGTGCACAGTTTCGAGAAAAAAATATATTCTGTAGTTCGACGCGATTTAAATTACCGAATCGCTACAATTGGTTCTTCTTTCACAGTTTTTGGAATGTGTCTTGCTATCCATTAACTATTTCGTTTTGTTCCAATATCAGCGACAATTGATTCGTTTCAGTCGTTCGCCGATCGCCTATTGACAACGAGTAAACAAGCTGAGAATACATACCTCACGGTTCGTCTGTAATATTTGCATTATGACGCGTATGTTTTAGGAAAAAAATAGTGTCATGGAAATGGCTAAAGAACCTTCAAGTTCTAAGAAGAAGGTCGAAGGAAGATTTCGAATGGATGCTTGCGTTTACCTTAGACATAATACATGAAGAAATATTCCTTTCGCAAGGCAATGTCTTAACATTTTCATTTTGTAAATTGTGTATATGTATCTGACCTCTAGCACTTTAATTAAAGTGTTCAGTTTCGCAGAAAATAGGTTCGACAGAACTTGAACAAAAGACGTCCTTCTGATACGTTTATTTTACAATTTTACCACACACAAGGTATAGTAGTAGACATTCCATCCATTTTTTAATTATTTCTGGGGTTATATTACCCCATTTCTATTTTAATGTCACTACCCGCCGTAAATTTACCGTTCTCATAACGTAGAGGTCACTACAATCACAGGCCTTATAGCGAAAATATTTTATTAACAATATTTAATAACTTTTTATTATTTACAATTTATAATTTTTACAATTACTTCAATGTCTTAACTTTTTGATGATCACTAAGGGAATGTTATAATCAAGAACATTTTATGAAAAAATTGAATATTTAAAATTGTCCACGGAAATATACAGCAAGCGCTATCTAGTGTTTCCAGTGACGTCTGCAGCAGGTCTACATATTCTTATACCTCGTCGTTAATTTTCATAGAGATTAAAAAAAGAGGACAGAACTGGAGTAACTTCCTCTCTTTCGAATGGGGCTGTTGGTGGGGGATTCTCCTACGGCTGCAATGAAGACATTACATGGTGCAGCGTGCAGCATTCTTCTCCTGATCGCCCTCCAGTCGCTTTCTCCTCTCCCTCTGCGATGTACGAGCAAGAGAGGAGTTACTCCAGCGCTACTTCTGTCCTTCTGTCTCGCTTCATCTCTACCATAAGACGGCGCAGTCGATTATATATATTATGTACGGACTATGGCATGGATACGACCACAGACGAGACATAGAATAGATGGAATAGTTCTACACACAAATAGAACCAACTATACAATGTTAAGCCGGTTAAGCCGTTAAGCCCGATCCTCAATAACTAACTATAGGTATATTTATTTAATGCTCCGAAATCAACGAACACAAGTTTCAACGGTAGTACCAAACGAATGTTTGTATTCAAATTGAAATTTTGATGTAGGAAAAGTATAAGGTATTTTCTATTATATTTCCAACACCATAATTCATTTAAATGTATTTTTACATAAACATACGGTTAATGGAGTGTTGTAAAATATCTTCAGATTCTTGTGAATGATTGGTTAACGTTCATTTTCATAGAAGAATTAAATCGTTAGAGCAGGTGGGTGAATTAGAAATCAATAAAAACAATGGACTTTTCGCTTTGTTCCTTATTAATTGAAAAGACATATACTTGTAGGTGCTCTTAAAATGGATGGATTCTTATTAATCAGTACTATTCATAAATATAGCTGTGTACACAGTTATCCCCATCTATAATGAATTTGTTTATAGTTGTCAATATGCATTCACTTAAAAGAATGATAACTGTGCTATGATTGCTTTTACATGTTCCGAATTATAATGGCTGTTTTACGGGGTACAGATTTCTTAACAGGATTTTGGTTTGATGTATTATTACGGACTGTTTTAGCAGGACTGTTCATGTAATATTTCACTTAACAATTCGGTTTTCTTATTAATACTTTTATATTTCTTATACACACTTATTGTTTTTCATGTAAATAGAGAACTAGAAAAAGCAGAACCATTTACAAGAAAAATTCAGGAGGATGAATTATGGTTATATAAAAATCCAAGAACCGATTCGTATGTTACAACTACAGTATTATGGGTAATGTATTTTATAATCAAATAATGATGTACCAATTAAGTTATAAATACATGTTACTAATTTCACTTCTTTTTTAGCCTCTAGTATTTCTTATGCCTGCCATAGTGATCTTTTTTACTTTCATAGTTTATAAGAACAAAACTGACTGCTATCAAGCAGTATTATCAGTCACTTTAGCATTAGGATTCAATGGTGTTATTACAGACATTATAAAACTTATAGTTGGTAAAAATGACAAAATATCAATTATACAGAAATAATTAATTATGGAATATATACATATATGCAGATATAAATGCATTTTTTGTAGGTCGTCCTAGACCAGATTTTTTTTGGAGATGTTTTCCCGATGGAAAAATGAATTCAGATTTCAAATGTAATGGAAATCCAGTTACTGTGAGAGATGGAAAAAAATCATTCCCAAGTGGACATTCTTCTTGTATGTACTGTGATGAGAAAACCATGTAGATTGCACAATATTTAAAGTATTATTCATCTTTCAGTTGCCTTTACAAGTTTTGGTTTCATTGCACTGTATGTAGCAGGTAAACTGCATACATTCAGTTTAGTTGGTAAAGGACAATCATGGAAGTTATGTGCATTTGTTTTACCAATTTGTATTGCCCTTGCTATTGCACTGAGTAGAACTTGTGACTATCATCATCACTGGCAAGGTAAGCATATCTTTTGCTCTACAAAGAAGGTTTCTAATATTCAAAATTTCAGATGTAGTTGCAGGTTCAGTAATAGGATACTTTCTGACATATCTGTGTTATAGACATTATTATCCACCATTAGACTCACAAGTATGTCATCAACCATATGCTATGCTTACTTTGCAATCAGAAAGTGCAAAGAATAGAAATGATCAGATCAAGTGGATCTAATAATGAATTGTATTAATTTAACAATATCTTAGATAATTTCATATTTTTATTTTATATGTGAATTATGTATTTATAAATGTAGAAAATAATACCAATACATAAGTTTCCAATGATATTAAATATATACTTTTACACACAATGCATCATTCGTCCATTCAAAACAGTCCACTTCATAAAATAACAATTTGCCCTAACATGAGCGAGGAGTTTCAGGTTGGTGAAAATATCGTGTTTAGACCAGGTAATATTTGTAAATAATTGTAAAATTGCTAGTACGATTGTACGATTTCAAAGGTGCGCAGAAACGTATGGTGATCGATCGTATTGCGCGCATAAACGCCATTTTAGAAAGTTTCGCATACGACGCGCCACCACGTTGGATTCAGTCAAAGAGAAACAGTGGTCGAGTCGATGGTTGTTAGCGCTTCTCGTGAATCCTTTTAACTTGGCGGTTGATCGTATGCATGGTATGCATCTTTGTGAATTGTAGAATTCGGTTGAATATCCTTACACGTTCCTTAAAGGGATCAACGTCGGTTTCGTTGCTCGGTCACGAATAGAAGTCAGTACATGCGGTACACACTTTTCTCCGTGGAAATAAAGAATTGTATCAGATTTCTCGACGCCGTGAAGTGACATAGTTATTTACGAGCTGTTGTGTTGGTGAAATGTTGTCTCAACTTCCTGTGCATGGCGAATACTCGTGAGCGTCGTCGGTCGCGTTGAATAGTCAAACGCTAGTGTTCGAACGGTGTTTTCGTCCCTTTCTAAGAACCTTCCGTCGTATTGACCTGTTTCACGCAACCTAGATTGACGAGATCGTGTCAGTTGTGCGTGAAAATGATCAACATGGAAACGGATAAGATTATCGGCGACACAAACACAAATCTTCAGGTATGCAACATATACAGTAAAACTCTGCTCATTCGAATATAATTTCCATCAAATGCTCAGTTTACTGAATTTCTACCCGACTGAATTACTTACTCTGCTTCTGTCGCAACTACCGCTAAGCAACGTTCTAATTCTACGAGCTATCCCAGCTATCTTATCCCCCGACAGGTTTGGTAAATGTATTAGTATTTTTCACCCGCCATCCTATCCTACCGCCATCTTATGTTTCCTTATGACGGTGAAATTCGCTAACATTTCACGATCAGTCGCTAATTTCAATGAAAAAACCTTATTAGTCGTGCGCCTACCACCCAGCAAGGTTAATTAATTATACAAATGTATTGCACGGCGGAGGTTGCTGGATCCTGTCACCCACTGTCACATGCAAGACAATGATTGTGATCATTTCATGTAACTTCTTTTATCAGAAGTATATTTATGCGTATCTACCGATGACAGTTACCGTCACACCTCAACGAAATTCTCTGTTGCATAATTTCTTCATTAATTTCGTACTGAAAGAAATATTACCGTAAATTTTTGCACTGATAAATACACAGTGCATACTTATCGTTAATGCGGATCAAGGAAAATATCAGAATCAGTGATTCATACAAATTTATGTACTATCACTGTACTCATATAATTGTTTTAGTAACTTCTACATATTACTAATAATTCTGAACCGAAAATCAGGCGGTGTTTGCACAGTACTATAAGCATACAAACATTCTGTTGAATTTTTAAATCTTCTATGTTTTATAAAAGGTACAGTGTATATTTATTTCTAAGCTAAAATTTAAATCAGTATGTTAACATATTCGATCGACTTGGTAAATTTATATCTTTGGATAAATTTCCGTGAAATCTAGTAAAATCACTATCCAACTGAGAATCACATTGTGCGATAACATTTAAGTACTAAATGATTAAATTTCATCGGGCAGTAATCGCCTTTGTTATTGAAACAAAGAACAGATGTCTTAAGTACAAGTCTAATCTCGAGGTTTGGCGAACTTTAAGAACAGTTTGCTACATAATCAATGTTTCCACTCCCTCTTCGCTCTTTCGCCAATTTTTCCGCATTTACGATCTCCAAACCTTTTTCGGCGCTTCTTTCTTGACAGTAGTAAATCATCGTGCAAGATCTGTATTTGAATTTCTTTTTGTACTATCCGAAACGTCACTACCATTTTTTTTTCATTTATTATTTAACATTTAACAACTCACTTCTTTTGGCGACAAACATGTTCATCGTGTGTCGTTACAGGGATATTGATTTGTACATACAATTGGGTATAAGCCAAAAATATCTAATTATGTGTACAAACACTTGGGCCTGTTCTCGATATATTCATTGAATCTCAATTAAACACAAATATATGTATGTACCTAACGATTGTTTACAGTAAACTTCGTGCTATTTCTTATATAAAGAAAGGTAATCATGTATACATATACATACTCTTTCTGATTAAATTACTACTCTGAAGTCAGGTCGACCCCAAATGTGACCCCTACTTTTAACGTTTGAGCAGAAAACAGCTTTCTTTGTGGTCACAGAGACCCCACGATGTGCTCTCCAGAGTTAAGAATAACTGTAAGCTGTTTCTTCAATGATAATAATAAGCAATAAGCAAAGGTTACAAAAAAAGGAACTTTACGGAGGAGTACAGTCGCGAGTGTTAACATAAAACAGTAAATTGTTGTTTTCTTGACGCGAGCTTCGGCAATTAAGTGCTGAGAACTGGAGAAGACTATTAAAGAAAAAGGACTGAGTTACAATCATTGCGTCAGAAGGTCTTGTGAATTTGAATGTGGTGTTTCCGACAATTCACCTTTTACCGTCCGTAGTGAAACAAAGGTTACCGTACCACTACAACTTTATGTTTACTAGAATATTAACCTACACTGGATATTCGAGAAGTGCATAGTATAATTCTTCGATGTAAATGAACTTTGTGCATTGTGCTTCCGTACGAAACATGACTTGACGAAAAAAAAGAAAAAAAATACGTAACTCTCGTATTTAGTAGTAGTGACTCATCATTCCGGTTTTCTTATACTTACTATACTACCAGACGCGTTTTTAATTTCTCATTTTTAATTTCGATCTGATCTCTGCGGCAAGAAGTTAGCAATTGAGGGTCGACGAGGAAACGATGTATCGCAACACAAGTTCACAATGGTCTTTCAAAACCGAATAAATTCGCCTGCACGTATTCTCGAAACTCGTTCCTCCTCGGGCACTCTTTTGCTTTATATTTAGAAAGACAGGAAGAGAAATACGTGTAACCAAGGACTACAAGAAATTTCGAAACCTTTCCGGTTGCAAATATTGCTACAAGTTACAATGACCGTTCTATACTGTTTTTCGCGCCACGAATCATGGATTACTGTATGTTCTGCTTTACCGACGTAGGCACATTTAATTAATTTTCTTTCGAAATACATATACAGTACTGTTCACTTGACTAGCTTTGTTTGTTTATTAATAAATTATGTGTAATATGAAAGGAAAAAATTGCTTTCGCTCTATATAAGTTTAAGAATTCAATTGGGACGCGAAACATAAGTAATGTAGGTACGATTTTTCTGGGTACTAAGTAATGTACATTCGCCGGTTCACGGTGCATCAAATTACAGTCTCGTAAAATTCTTTTCTGGGTAAATCGCAATGAGTATCCATTTACAAAAAGCTTCGAAACCGCAAGCTACGTGTTCTCTTCCATGGCTTGTTCTCGATTGGCTTTCCTTTGTAATCCAATACTCGTAGCAACGGACGATAACATCGCAATCGTCTTGAAGAAGTATTCGATAATTTTCGATTTGTGCGGTTGTTTGTATCAGAAAGTTATTTAGCTGTTGGTACTCGAAACACAAACAAAAAACAGGCCATAGAAATTTTTGTTCTAGTCAGAGTTATTACTTAGGTTCGAATTTCAAGATTCTTGAACGTTTCGAGTGGTTGGCCGGCAATGCATAGAACATAAAATACATAACGATATGAAGACAAAGAAATACGAAGAGCATAGATTCGACACGAGTTCGCGATCCCGTTATGCCGGGAGCACCGCGGAGAAACATTTTCAGGTGATCGAGGTACTCCTTGGCCGCCAGGACTCTTCAATGTTGCTATGCCACCTTTTACAGTCGAGTGATCACGATATCTCGGACCGAAGGACCGTTTACCACGCGAACTGTACACATAATAATAATATAGCCCTCTGATACAAGTTCATTTCCTATTTGCAATCTAGATGATTTCTCGTTTTGACAGCGGAACGACAAGAAATATCTTCATTCATTATTCTGTCAAAGACAATTTCTTTTCTTAACAGGTGAATAAGATAAGGAAACGTAATCTGTAACCGCGTTTCCACATATGCAACGCCATGGTTCGCGATTCTCCGAATATCTTGTAAGACTATCTCATTGAAATGACGTATCAGGCGGCGTCTTATCTGAAGTATATGATAATAAATGGTATTTCTATGTTCCTTTTGTACAGCACTATTTATAATATTGCTTTATACGATATCGTTAACGAAAAAGATAAGACGTTAAGTTTTAAACCGGCGAAGATTCACAGTTTTGTATAAACTGCGTTAGTGATATTATTACTTTTAATAGCGCCGATATTACGGATTACCGATTAATCTCATAGCGTAACGGTCACGATGTCGAGATCGTTTCGTCGATAGAAATGTGTTCAGCCTTAATTTCGGAACGTTTAACAAGATATGCGTGTATTATAAGGGTTTTCGCTTCCAGAGGTGGCAAGCGTGACAAGTAGGTCAAATACGAAATATTGGATTACGATGCAGGCCATGGTCCTTCGGTATATTGCCTTTTTGCGAATTAAAACATCTAATGTAATATCATACGAACCTGTATATTCTAAATTATTAAGAGTACACTTCTCGAAGAAGGTTTGCTAATCTCGTTTAGCCGCGATGTTGATGAATACAAGTGATTTCATTCTCTTGCGTTCACCGATAACGAGTGTACGGTCACGGATAAATCGTATCTGCGTACAATAGAAAAACGCTATAAATCAAAGAAACGAATTGCATGTTTGAACATCCATTTCTGCGAGTACACTCGATGTCTTGGAACATGCAAGAGAGCGTGTGGTGTATCTGAGGTCAAGAACCCGGTACCACGCTCTACCTCAAGATACATTTGTCGTGTTCGCAGGCCTGCGATTACGCGTGTTTTGTATGGCGTTTAACTTTTTTCTGTAGATGTATTCAGAGAAATATTTAAATATACATTGAATCCGTATAAGTGAGTATTTTTATACATGTCCCTGATAATACATGGCACTTGTATAGCAATAGGAAAAGAAGTAGCGAAACGTTCGATGGGATTAAAACTGAAATATCGTTTGATGTGTGTGTATCTTTTAAAAAGTGTACCTGTTATCAAAATGTATTTATATAACTCGTACAATATTTTTTCAGTGTCCAATAACAATACTCTATGATCCTACTCGCAAGAAAGAATTACCGACAGGGGTATCTCCACAGTATGGTGAAGAAAAAGAAATTTGTATGATACTTTTTGAGAAGTGGAGTGAACCCGAACAAATCAATTTTGTTGAACAGTTGCTGGCACGGATGTGTCACTATCAGCATGGACACATCAATGCCTATCTAAAGCCAATGTTGCAGAGAGACTTTGTATCTTTGTTACCAAGTAAGTATTTTCACTGAGACATTGTCATTGTAATGTTAGAATAAATACATTGTCTTACATTTTCTGTGAAAACTATTTTTATGTTATTAGAAAAAGGATTGGACCATGTGGCAGAAAGTATTCTTTCCTATCTGGATGCTGACTCCTTAATTGCAGCTGAATTAGTATGTAAAGAATGGCACAGAGTAATTAGCGAAGGAATGCTTTGGAAAAAGTTAATCGAGAGGAAAGTAAGGACTGATTCAATTTGGAGGGGTCTGGCTGAGAGGAGAGGATGGTTAGTATAATAGTTTGTAATTTCTTATCGCAAACGCATTATAGCACAATCAATGCGTATATTTAATAGAAGAAGGCTAGGAAATGTTGATGCTACCATAGGAATTTGGTTTCATTTTACTTTCAGGATTCAGTATTTATTCAAACCAAGACCAGGAGAGAGTCATCCGAACCACAGTTTCTACAGATCTCTTTATCCTAAAATAGTTAAAGATATTGATAGTATAGATAATAATTGGAGAATGGGAAGATTTAATCTTCAAAGAATAAACTGTAGAAGTGAAAATTCTAAAGGTGTTTACTGTTTGCAATACGACGACCAGAAAATCGTCTCTGGTCTTAGAGATAATACAATTAAAATTTGGGACAGAAACACCCTACAGTGTATTAAAGTGTTGACGGGGCATACTGGTTCTGTTCTCTGTTTACAATACGACGACAAAGCAATAATATCTGGTTCCTCTGATAGCACTGTAAGAGTTTGGGATGCTAATACTGGTGAAATGCTTAACACATTGATCCATCATTGTGAAGCAGTTCTACATCTTAGATTTAATAACGGAATGATGGTCACTTGTTCGAAGGCGAGTAAATATTTTTTCATTCTCTTTGCACGTGATTATGCTCCCGAATGATTAGCATTATTTTCTATTTGTTTTTAGGATCGTTCAATAGCTGTATGGGACATGACGTCACAAACGGAAATCGCATTGAGAAGAGTACTAGTGGGACACAGGGCAGCAGTTAATGTTGTTGATTTCGATGAAAAATATATTGTGTCGGCTAGTGGTGATAGGACTATCAAAGTATGGAATACATCTACTTGCGAGTTTGTGCGAACGTTGAATGGACATAAACGGGGTATAGCGTGTTTGCAATATAGGGACTGCTTAGTAGTTAGTGGTAGCAGTGATAACACAATCAGATTATGGGATATTGAATGTGGTGCGTGCTTACGTGTTCTGGAAGGACACGAAGAATTGGTCAGATGTATCAGATTTGACAGTAAACACATAGTCAGTGGAGCTTATGATGGGTGAGTATAGAAAACAATTTACTCTTGCATACGACGTTTCCTGCTGCTATAATAATATATTTACCGTTTTGCATTGCAGCAAAATTAAAGTGTGGGATTTAGTAGCAGCATTAGATCCAAGAGCTTTAGCTAATTCACTTTGTTTACGTACATTAGTGGTAAGATATTCTATACACTGTACTTTAATATTGAAAGAAATCCACTTGTAATCATGATAATGTGTATCGCAGGAGCATACGGGACGTGTATTCCGCCTTCAGTTTGACGAGTTTCAAATAGTATCGTCATCGCACGATGATACAATACTGATTTGGGATTTCCTCAATTTCACCCCATCGAATGGAAGTGTATCGCATGGGTCAACAATAAATGCATCTGGTGCAAATCAGTCCCACACCAGATCTCCATCTCGTAAGTATGAAAAGGTTCGTTTAATTGATACATTTGATATTTCCTTACACCGTGAATACTATTTTGCAGCGTTTGAGTGATGCACTACTACGAAGATTCCTTCATTGTGATATAATTGTAAGTATAATACTTAAAAACTCATTTATATATTTTTGAGAGTAAAGATCTGTACAAATCGTTTGTAAAAATTTTGCTATATAAACTATATTTTTTAAGATAAATATATAACCCATGTTTAATTTGAGTATATATACATTTGGGGAATTTATAAAAATAAACTACAGTAATGTCTCGATGAGTGCGGCGTACTCGGGTCCACTTGGGAGCATTCATGGCAAGGCGGAAAGGTTTTCAGCCTCTCATAAATTTGTTTTTTTTTTTTTTTCGAAGCTGAGCCTCTGCTTAGCTTCTGTTTACTCTGTTTCGATTGGTTTCACAGGGGTACTCCCCCAATGGTGGAAATAACGCCGTTCATCGAGGGATCACTGTATATCTCGTAGCATCAATAGCCGACTTTTTTTTATAATCTAGTATCACGAGACAAATATGTGAAGATGTGTTACGTTAATGTCTCTGATTTATTTCAGACAAGTGGTTAGTGAGTGAGTTTCAATGTGTTCACGGTAGTGTACGCAAAGAACGAAGAATCAGTGTCCAGTGTGAACAGCGGCTAGACAGAAACAGAATCTCAAAAAAGATACGGTCATTGACTTTTGTTCAGAATTTGCTGTGGAAAGCAAAAGTTAATCCTTTAAAATATGATATACAAAGTGACACATAAAACTATGAATTAATTTATACGCACTTAACGCACTGCGTTTAGTAATGAACAGTATATTAAAACCCACGTAAATAGATCCCATGGATGTAAATGATTATCTGCTTTGGCCATATCTGGAATTCTTCTGCGCTCTATGATATGATAGAAGTTGACCACTTTCCTATTATGAAAGAAAAACAAAAGACTTATGATACGTAAACAAAACGAAAATGATTTTAGGGAGGCTGGATACACATAATAAGATGTTAGCTGTATTATAGTAAATCAATAATTTTTTGTGTAATTAATTTATGGTAAGAAGATTGTAAAATGTCGTTTGATTGGAGTACTTATCCTGTGTGAATGTGGAAGGAAAAAAAGGTATTAATATGTGAGAGGATTATGATAACCATCACGTTTTCTTATCTTCGAAGAACTAGCTAATGTGAATCACTATACCCATATTTAGCATTCTAGATGTACAGCCGTTAATCGAACATGTAGCAATTTTCATAGACATTAATTTTACGAGATTCATATTATATACTGAAAAAGTACATGAAACGTTAACTGTCTGTATACAGCTATTGGTGCAATACCATTTGCATTTAAAATATAAATTTTCATTATACCAAGATGTAAATAATAATTCATACAGAAGCAATATAGTGACTTTGAAATAATCTTAGCTATTGTAAACGAATTATTATGTTCTGACTGATGATCTCGGATAGATCACATTTTTCAGTGTTTGTCTGTTTTTTGCGAGGCACAGTTTTTTCATCTTAAATTATAAGAATATTTTGAATAATACAATATACGTTTGTATTGACAGTCGGCATTAAAAAGACAACAAGATTACTAATTTGTCTAAGACAGCAAAAACAAATGTTTTTAATTTTCGAAATTTATACAAACATTTTGATCTTTAAAAGTATAAAAAAATAGTTCAGGAGTATATAATTCCTAATTTTGACTTTAACGAATGTATTTGAAACTTTGTAAAAGTGCTGAAACTAACGAAAAAAAAATTATCCGTTACTGATAAAATGTGAGAAACAAATTGATTTTTACATTAACTGAATAAGAAGTAGTGTTAAGTAGCACTTGTATAATATTCTACTATTATAAAAATGTTTACATTAAAAACAAAAGAATTACAGAGATTTGTAAACCATGTGTAGTCAAATTGGGTACAAAGAATTGTGATTTTTAAACTAAAATGATGGCATGAAAAATTTTCTATAACTTTAAGGTATGTATATATATGGGACTCCAATGCAAACTATACTTTTGTAGTATGCCGCATGTTCGGAATTCATGAAACACTTTAATGAAGAAAATAGCATAATAATAGTTGCAACAGGTATTAACATACTCTTTGTAAGCATATACCCTGTTATATACTACAGCTATCTACGAAAGTGTACGTATGCATAGGTATTATGGAAGTGACATCACATACTGCTATTTCTTACATTCCGTACTGGAATGTAAACAAAAAGATTGGGGTCTTAAATAATTTAAGTCAATAAACATATTACTACAAAAACACTACATTTTTTTATATAAAACAATACAATTGAGAAAGATCGGTCATAATTTATTCACTTTTGAAACTGACGATGAGTGATGTGTCTTAATCTGGTACGAAAAAACTATCTCTAAGATAACATTGTGATGATTATCATTCATAACAAAAGAAGCTTTCATGTATGAAATTAATTACATAAAAATTGAATTAAGGCTGTGGAAAAGGTATATTTGAAATACAAATACCTATGCAAGAAGAGGAAGAATTTTAATGGAAATGATTATTCGACAAAAAAAACCCTTGAATTTAAGGCTTTTAAAAGTTATGGGTGCAATTGTAACTTATTTTAAATACATGAAATAATCTAACATTAGACCGTGTTTGTCAACTTACAAGAAAATTGAAATTTCAAATCTATTTGGTCTGTGTGCTAAAAATTGCTATTAAAATATGTACCATATTAATAGTAACGGCTAAAGCCATTACATATCGATCAAATCCAACGATTACATGGCAGGATAGGCAACATTTTAAATATGTTTAATTGATAAATACATTTGAGTATCTTTCTTTAGAACTAGTATTGCACGGTACAGTTCCTGGTAAATTTTCATCAAATGATTACGATTTGCATTATTCCACATTCAAACGAATTGTGTATATAGAAAATTTACGAAATCATTCATGACTCGAATTTTACAATATGTATATACAAAATTATAAGAACTTATTACATGCTTCAAGTAAATATGTAACATTTTCCGGGAATACAGTTTCTTCTAATGAGGAATAATGCATCTTATTATAATGATTTTAAGTCATGTAATTGATTATGAATGATTTGACAAAAGGTTCTTTGAAGATGTTGCTATTTAAACAAAACATTGAAAAGACCTCAATCTGAATGTACAAACGCATTTTGCTATTTATGTATTATGTATCATCATGCACAATGATGTGTACTTTACAAAAGACATGCATATGTATTTACTGCAAAATTACTGTTAGCGATGGTTACATTTATCCGAGTACAATTAATTTTTTATTAAATCACCACTATAGTTTAGAATCTCATTAATTTTCATGAAATATGCATCCAATAACATAGTATTCATATATTAGTTTACGAAAAGCAGTAATTACGTATTTTACAAAACATTGTTTTGTTAGAAGTAAAGTGCTACCTAATGTAAATCATTTTAATTACTTTTTCTTTCGTATTATATTTTTTATTTATTTAGCAACAAAAACATTCATTGATCTTAAGGTTTATTTTTAAATAGATTTGACCCAAGAATGATACATAAAACTGGTTTAATTAAAGAAAAGATGATATACATAAAGGAAGGTGCGACTTATAATATTTTCATTTCGAAGGTGTAAATAAAACTGCACCTTTATTTACATAAGCATAGACTGCCAATGAAAAATTTATAATAGAAGTGATTGCAGTAACATTTATATCAATAAATGACTTGAAGAAAATGTGACGAATCTTCCATTTTATCTCCTGCTAGAAAAACTGATGAATTCTATTTTCATTTCAACAGCATTTATACTCTCTGATGGTAACTATGGCTCACATGGACATATTTTTGGGATTACAATTTAAAAAACTGTTAATCAAATATAAGTTTATTTCCTTTATTAAGTCCTGAATAAAATAAAAACTTCTCTGAACTCTATTAAATTTTTGATTGCATAAATTTTAGGACAAACGTGTATCAATCATCATTGTACAATGTGTAAGTACATAAAATCGGGGGTCTAATCGTAACTTCATTGTTCGACTACTGGAACTAAGTTATTAGATTCCAAATAAAATATAAACTATATTAATGATTTTACTGTACTAAATTCTACACAATTGGGTGTGCTAAGGACCCATAAAAACTGCAATCTACTCATTGTTGTGTCGACTACTGTCATTCAGACTGTCAATGAGACACGGCTTGCCTTTCTTTCTATCAACGCATTATAACCGGGAGTACGATTACTATTTTTTTTCTTTTTGTTATTAAAGGTGGCGTTGTCGATGCTCCCGCCGTAGAAAACGTCGCTTCTGCACAACATGTTGTGGCAGTTGCGATTAAAGCATGTGATCCTGCCTTCATTGTAGATAATACGAAGCTGCGAAAATGGCGGACGAACAGGTGAGTTGCCGATCAAAATAACGTGCGAACCTCGAAACATAACGAAGTTTATCTACGACAAAGTGATTACAAAAATCGTGCGGTAAATCAACCGGCGGTTAAATTTCTCGCGAATTGTGTTGTATCGACGTGTGTCCCGAACATTTATCCGTTTGGAAACTCTACAAATTTTCTTGATGCTATTGCACTCTTGTTTTGTTGCCGGACCACAGTGATTATTATTTCGTCCCCGCTGTCAATGGACGTGTAGTCACAAACTAAAAGATTCCTTAATCCGCAGATTTATTGACGTTTTATACTACGGACGGAAAATCGTGTGGCCGATGTGCAAATGTTTAACCTTGTTCTAACGAATAGTATTTTGTGTAGATACAGTTCAGAGTTTTCGAAAGATAACTCAATGGATGGAAATATATAAATAGTTCGTGGATTTTATATTCCGAGCGTTTCGTTTTGAAAAGGTTTCGTTTGCCTTTTCCATGAAGTCGAGTTAAACTATCCTTGTAATATTATTTTAAAAAAAAATACGGCATAACCTATCCGATACTCCCTATTTTACAAGATAAACTAAGGTGTTTTCTCTAAACTTCAGCACGTTAGATTGTTGTTTATCTAATGCTTCGTTTGAACATTCGACTGATTAATCGCGATGTTTCGTTTTAATTCAAAATAATTGAAAATGCTCGAGGATGTGCTTGTGAGATATCTCCAAACTGAATTTTTGACCGTTTAAAGTACGGTTGTTTAACGTCTGTTATTTACGAAATCTAAACTGCGTAACCTCAAAGTATTATTTAAATCTTAAGGAAGTAAATGAATACTTAACTTTCGTTTATTAATGTAAATAGAGGAAGAATCGAATGAATAAAGTTTGTGAAGAAATAAATCGTCAGTACCACGAAAATCGAGTGCATTTAAAGAAACATTGTGATTTGTTTTCCTTTGTTTATGTTATTATAATTATCTTAAATGTGACTAAATATTTAGAATTTTTCTTTTTCTTTTCATTATAAACCGGATTTATATTTACATTGTTTCACAGAATGAAGTGTATTCTAAATAAATAGTGTTATTTCGTAATTATGTTTACCTATTGCAATGTCAGGGCTAGTTAGAAAATATTTATTTAACTCTAATTTTATTTCATGCTCTTTAAGTAAGTAACACATTGTTTGTTATTGTAAGCTCTTAAATGTTAACTGTAATGGAAATTAAAAATTAATGGAAGAATTTGAAAAGTGAAGCAATGATCTTGAAGATTATAGACTTGAACCTAAGTGGAAATATTGAAGTGTACATTTAAAACATTAAGAATGGATGACATACAGGAATTACGGCAACTGGAGTTGCTTTGCAAGCAGTTGTATGAATCACAAGATTCTACTCACCGTGCAGAAGCAGAAAAGGCACTTGTTGCTTTCCAAAATGCACCGGATACACTTACAAAGTGCCAACTGCTACTCGAGCGAGGGGATTCTGCATACGCTCAATTATTGGCAGCCACAACATTAACAAAACTGGTTTCTCGTTCAGCTGGACTTAGTTTACAACAAAGGCTTGATATACGTTAGTTTACCAATGAAATTATTAAACAAATTAAGTAAGGACACACAAAGTTAATTCATGCAAATTTTGTTTCAGGGAATTATGTCCTCAACTATTTAGCAACTCAACCAAAATTACCAAACTTTGTGATACAAGCTTTGGTTACATTATTTGCTAGGATATCAAAGCTTGGCTGGTTTAATACTGATAAAGATGAGTTTGTCTTTAGAAATGTTGTCAGTGATGTAGCAAAATTTCTTCAGGTTCGATATCATTGTTATTTTGAATTCTTTAATGTTAATTTATCATGTTTTCTGAATATATTCATTTTGTACAGGGTTCAGTGGAACACTGTATGATAGGAGTCCAATTACTTTCACAATTGACCTGTGAGATGAATCAAGTAACAGATGATGAAAACAGATCTCTTACAAAACATAGAAAAATTGCTGGTAGCTTCAGAGATACACAACTGTTTGAAATATTTAAGTTATCGTGTACTTTATTAAGTACAGCGCGTGAGAATTGTAAAAATTTAAATTTTAATGATGAAGCACAGGTACAGCTTTCTCCTCTACCTTTTATTTATTAAATACTTTGCAACTATTTTACATATTTTTTCATTTATAGCATGGTCTGATCAGACAGCTTTTAAAATTGGCACAGAATTGCTTAACATTCGACTTTGTTGGAACATCAGCAGACGAAAGTTCCGAAGATCTCTGTGCAATACAAATTCCAAACTGTTGGAGACCTATGTTTTTGGATTCCACATCATTAAAACTCTTCTTCGACTTATATCATAGCTTACCTACGACACTATCATCTCTAGCCCTTTCGTGTTTGGTTCAAATAGCATCTGTCAGAAGGAGTTTATTTTCTAATCCAGAAAGGGCACAATTTCTAACACATTTAGTTAATGGTGTAACAAACATTATACAGAATCCACGGGGCCTAAGCGATCCCGCGAATTACCATGAGTTTTGTAGACTAATCTTAAGGTTAAAAAGCAACTTTCAACTGGGGGAACTGATTTTACTTGAACATTATCCAGAAGATATACAATTAATCGCGAAATTTACAGTTCAAAGTTTACAAATGTGGCAATTTTCGCCGAACAGCTTACATTACCTTTTAACGCTATGGCAAAAGATGGTGTCGTCTTTGCCTTATTGTAAAGGGGGAGATCGACATTTATTGGATATATATACACCAGAAGTTGTAAATGCATATATTACTTCAAGATTCGACTCTGTCGCGGTAGTAGTTAGGGAACGTTTAGAAGATCCACTTGATGATTTAGGAGTAGTGCATCAACAATTGGAGCAGATATCGGTAATTGGAAGGTGCGAATATCAAAAAACTTATGCCTTGTTAATACAACTCTTCGATCAAGCCGCGCGCGCGTACCAAGAATTAATGACTCAAACATCATCTCCAACTACGCGAATGGATATTACTATACGTGAGGGTCAACTAACATGGCTCGTGTACATTATAGGTAAGAAAGTAATTTTTATAACTTGATAAACCAACAACCATAAAGCAAAACAAGTATAACATGTATGTTATGTTTAAAAAAAATAAAAAGGTGGTGTTATCGGTGGAAAAGTAATATTCAACAATAACGAAGAGTACGACGCGATGGACGGGGAATTGGCCTGCAGAGTGCTTCAGTTAATGAACTTGACTGACTCGAGACTTGCACAAGGTGGCTGTGAAAAATTGGAGTTGGCAATGTTGAGCTTCTTCGAACAGTTTCGTAAACTATACGTAGGAGAACAAGTTCAAAAGAATCCTAAAGTGTATAGAAGACTGTCGGACGTTTTAGGAGTGAACGATGAATCTATGATACTCGGTATTCTTATTCGGAAAATGTAAGTAAGATGCAGCGTACAAAAGTACCGTTTAAGGTAGTAATTTTCGATGTTCCATTTACAGAATAACAAATTTGAAATATTGGGGTCGCAGCGAACAAATTATTTCGAAAACATTGCAGTTATTGAATGATCTTTCTGCGGGTTTTAGCTGTGTTCGCAAACTTGTAAAACTAGAAGAAGTACAATTCATGCTCAACAATCACACAGTATGTATAAGTAACCATTTATACAATTTCTGTATAAAGTGTGCAAACAGAGAATATTAATCACGTTTCTTTTTCATTGATAGGGAGAGCACTTTCCATTTCTGGGAAATAACGTTCCTGTATCAGAAATGCGTTGTAGATCGATGTTCTACACATCCTTGGGTAGATTGTTAATGGTAGACTTAGGAGAAGATGAGGAAAGGTTTCACACTTTTATGTTACCCTTAACAGGTATACAAATTATTTAATCTATAAGGTATGATAAGATATTTATATCAGCTTTACGTTTATATTATTCATTTTGTAGGTGCGTTAGAAAGTTTGGGTCAATTGATGGGTGCTGCTGATCCTTCACTTTTTGCAGCAGAGGAAGCGAAAAAAGCTTTGATTGGTTTAGCAAGAGATTTAAGAGGCTTAGCTTATGCATTTAACACATCCACATCGTACATGATGCTGTTTGACTGGATGTATCCTTTTTTAATGAGACAATTCTCTTCCACGCGCAGCCAATGATAGAATTTCGTTCTTGTAAATTACCTTAATTGACATATAGATATCCAAACTATTCACCAATTTTATTACATGCCGTAGAATTATGGCATTACGAACCACAAGTCACAACACCCGTCCTAAAATTATTCGCCGAATTAGTACAAAATAGGAGTCAACGATTACAATTCGATGCATCTTCTCCGAATGGAATTTTATTATTTCGTGAAGCTAGTAAAGTGATATGTAGTTACGGTAATCGAATATTGAATGTTGAAGTTCCAAAGGATCAGATATACCCTTTAAAACTGAAAGGGATAAGTATATGCTTCAGTATGTTAAAAGCAGCTTTATGTGGGAATTATTTGAATTTCGGAGCGTTCAGATTGTATGGTGACGAGGCATTGGATAATGCACTTAATACATTTGTAAAACTACTTCTTAGTATACCACTGAGTGATTTACTGGTATGTATTTGATTCATAGAGATGTTTTCGTTCATAGTTTACATGAGATCTAACATTACGGTATTATTCTTGATAGGATTACCCAAAGTTATCCACAACATACTACGTGTTACTTGAATGCTTGGCACAGGATCATATGGTTTTCCTCTCTACCCTTGAACCCAGAGTTTCTTTGTATATTCTATCAAGCATCAGCGAAGGCCTTACAGCACTAGGTGCGCAAAAAGACTCCTATACAGGTCTGTGCGGCTGATTCTATCTTTATATCAGTCTCTTATCCTCTATGCCATGTCTTTCGAGATTATTAGTCTCAAATCGTTTACAACAATTTCCACTTATCACAAAGGTATTCGTCAAACACTTTCGATGTTTTTGAGAAATTCTAAATGGAACGCGAATAATTGAAATGTACATCTGAAATATTCAGAAACATCATTCCAATGAATCGTTCCAATTAATTTGGAGACTTTAAATCAACACGAAGTGTTCGGCAGTAGGGAATTTTATTACTAATTATGTCAGCCAAACAATAGTCAATAAGAACAGTTAGTTTATTTTATATTCATTTGCATTTTGCATTATTGCTTGGAATGTAAAACTCCCTTTTTAGGTATTGGTAATTGCTATCGTTTTACACGTATAGGAATAATGGTGTATGTTGAGTAATCGATCTTCGTGTACATAAAGAGAATGGTTTTATAGGCAATGAGAGGATTGGAGTTTGTAGAATCTAGACCCCATTTGCTATGACTGTATCGTGTACCGCTTTTTTTTTATTTCTATTTGTGTTTTTAGTACTGTATTGTATTAGAGACTCAGGACACTGCTTTTTAACGTTTACTTACGTAATGGGTCTAGCACACAGTCAGCCGCACAGCTGACACGCTACTAAAATGTTTGAACATTCATAGTCATAAGTATTTTCGATTATTAACATACTAATTATCACATGCATGATACATAACAATACTATCTTTCTTGTGTTCTATGCTCTGTTTTGCAATTCTATGTTATCCACTGCACAATTTATAGCCGATCGCTATGAACATCTAAAGTATCAATAATTACCCTGTACTTGAATAGAATTGAGCACACTTTTAATGATTAGGCCTCTGTATTATATTTGTAACAATTGTTGTAAATTTGCACGTGATTCTGAACCAGGGCTTTATAATAGATTTTCTTCCTTTTTCTTAAGTAACCCGAAATAATGGTAGCGAAATTTTTTTTTTACAGATACAATGATTTGTACTGGCTGCTGCACTACTCTTGATCATATTGTGACATATTTATTTAAACAACTTTACCCGAAAGGTATGATTTATCTAGTACTTGTATTGTACCCTCGCGAGCAAACTCGGTTTCTCTCGTCGGTGTATGTCTACATATCATTTATATACAATGTATATCCTCTTTTTCATAGGAAACTATGCAAGGAGGAAAAATGCTGTAGTTCCAGGAGGTGGAGATTTATTTCTACAAGTTCTAAAACAACATCCTGAGATTCTTCAGCAAATATTAAGTACAGTTTTAAATGTGATAATGTTCGAAGATTGTAGAAATCAATGGAGTATGTCGCGTCCTCTTCTGGGATTAATTCTTTTAAATGAAGAAGTGAGTAAATATTAATATTCACTTCAGGTTTTGTAGATAATTTTCGAATGATTGTATTAATTGAAAATTTACAATTTTAGTATTTTAACCAATTACGAGAAAATATTATTAGAAGTCAACCAGTTGATAAGCAGGCAACAATGGCACAGTGGTTTGAGAATTTAATGGAAGGGATTGAAAGGAATTTACTTACAAGAAATAGAGATAGGTAAGAGTGAGTAGAGGTCAATGTAACCATGTTTCAATATGTGAAAATTCAATGTTCTTAATGAAAAGTAGAAGGAGAGTAACGTCATTTTTATATACATTTTTCTTATTTTAGGTTTACACAAAATTTGTCGTTGCTTATAAAAGATATAAATGATACCTTGAAAGGACCTTATTCATCTGCAAATGTTTCCAATGATATGATGACACTGCAGTGATACCGCTCTCTTGCTACTAGATTCTCCTAGGTTCTTGCCTGCCAAATGCTTGAATGTGTGTGCGAGTGAAACTATAAATTATGGTGGATTTAAAATTATGGTTTTAGATAAGTATAAAGATAATAAATTAAGTACTGTTGTTTTATAGAATTATTATTGTTTTTGGCTTCCTATTCTCTTGTAACCTTACTTCATTTTCAAATTTCTCTATTTCGATTATATAACAATTTCAAAGTTACTACGACAATACAGAGATTTTATTTATTTCGATATATACGTAGCATACTTACGGTTTCGTGCTTAATGCTAAAATGTCCTTTACCCGAAATTTATCAACAAAAAAGAATGAATCCTGTTATTACCTTTATACTCCTACTGTTTTCGTTTGATACGATATTGGAATACGAATGTTTTTGCACATATTAGCTATTTAAAAAGATTGGCAATAAATATATATTTTGCAGATTCACAGTTAATGTACGCCGATCTCTTTTACAGATACATTAATTGAACTTATTTCACTTACTTTCTGGAAGTGTCCAGACTACTATACAATACTTGCACCTTATTCGAATATAAAGGAAATATGTATACCTTTCAATGTGAATTTATTTTTAACTTCCAGTGACAATTATCCGATGTTATATGCATTGTTCATTACATGAATATCTTATTTTATATAAATGTCACACTGGTATCATAATTTTTGAACGGTATTAAAAAATACAATGTAGAATAGGAAGCCAATTATATGAATTATGAGAACATATTTTGCTCCGTATTACTTTTATACGCAGTCGATTTCCATTTATTTAAATGCATTTGTAATTTAAATTTTTTTTGTTGCAAAATATGGGTCATAATGTTAAGAATAACTCGAAACAGTAATGTTAAAAATCGATGAGTCACTATCAAAAATTTTTAGAACCAATCATTGACATCTTGTGTCTCAATGAGCATTATTTAGGAGATGTCTTAAAATCGATAATGCAAAAAGTTCACTTACAAATATATTTTGTTACTATCATTATTGTCATGGAATTATACTTGTCACTGATAATATTCTATTACAGCAAACTTGGTATTAAATATGTGTTGTGCGATGCTGTTAAAAGTCTTCTAACTGTTAACATGCATATTCATTTCTCTGCATTTACTAAAGTAATGCAATATCTTCTATAAGTACTTTTAGCATTAAAATTTTTTGCACATCTGTAATATACACATCATAAAATATTTTTAACGAGTTAGTTTTCTGTATTAAGGTTAATCATGTATATTATTAGAAAAAAAATATGGACTTCGATAATAAAAATTTTCATTCCGTAAAAGTTATTAGAATTATTTTTACAAATGACATACTAATCATGTTGATCATATTTACATATTACCTATTACTATTAAATTCCTTCTTGCTTCTAATGTTTCTCCCTCTTTATCTTCTGTTTAATGCATGTTAACAGTAGAAGAGTAGCACTTTTATTAATTAATATTATATACTGTAATTGAAAGTATTTAATAATTTAAATTCCTTACAGCCTTTTATACTTCATCATACCCTATATTGACAAAGAATAACTTACATCAGGATTATTTGACATGCTTAAGTTTGATTATTATTTCTATTTAGGAAAAAATTCATTTCTTCATCAAACACTGTCACATTGATTGCTAACAACAGAATTGTTGTATTAATTTGTTTTTGACTCGTTTAACGCTACCTGTAACATTTAGTAGTACACAAGTGTATGACGAGTGTGTGCAAAGAACTCATGTGGGAGTTCCATACAATGTTAATCTATATACAATTAATAATTTCGTAGAGTTACATTAGACACTTATAAAATACCTTCATTTAGGTTGTATCCATTCATTTATATATTTTTTACTGTAAGATAGTAGAAACAAGCTGCTGCGAGACAGCTGACATTTCCTTTTTTTTTTATAATAAATTTCTAGACATTTTACTTTTAATAAACACTTGTAAAAATGTTCGAAAATTATTTTCATTAAACCGTGTGTGTTTCAGTTAAATGCCTACTGTAAACAAATGCACTGTACATATTTCGAATATAGTAAACGTGTTACATTTCGTATTGTATAAGATGCCCAAAACTGTCTAGCGCAGAATTAGACAATAACTAAGACGTCATATCCATCTATAACACACATTCATTTTTATTCAGTCGAATTATGCGCTAGATTTTTAATGACTAATAAACATAAAACACAATCAAACCTTTTACATAATCTTAATGTCATTTGTTATATACATACAAATATGGGAAATTACATACATTTTTTTAATATTCCTGGAATAAGCAAAAAGTTATATAAAATATATGAGTTCATTATTGCAATTTTCAGTGTCTGATCTTTAAATAACTTACGAACTAGAAGAATAAAAGAAACAAGGTGTTATTTGTTCATTGCGAGAATTTTTGCCTACAGCTTCAATGAAGTTTATTACATAAATATAATTAACTTAATATAATTTCACCATCTTTGGATGAGAACATTATATACATCTTTTTGCTTAATTCGGGGCCGACTTTACGCGTTGCAGTAAGAGGTCCAGCTGCTCTCCTAATCTGTAAAATATAATAAATATACATGTGAAATGTAAGTAAAAACATACTAATAAAACACTTAAGTTTTATTGATTTGAAATATTTTTGTATAACTTTCTCTGTGTCTAATCGCTAACTTTAATTCTTGTGTATAAAAGATAAACAAAGTTCATAGTTTACTGGAATATCTTTCAATAAATTCTGTCCTTCAATTTGAGTGCAATTCTTGTATGCCTGAAAGAAACAAAGTAATGTAAATTTATATGTACATGTAGTAATTTATATTTAGCACATAATATTTACTTCCATTAAATCTGCAGGGCATTTGTATACAGAACTTATCGCTTCTGCAATCTCAAGACTACTTAAATTAAATTGACACAGCTGTTGTTGCCATAGTCTCTTCAATCCATTCCCATTTTTATCTACAGATACTGTGTTTCTATTATCTCCCATTACATACCAGTCAAATTTACTTGTTAAATTCTCATTCTTTTCCATTTTAAATGGTATTTCTGCTATAGCTTTAGTACATTGATGTATCATTTGTGCTAATTCCTGAGAATTGTTTATTAATCTGCTGCTACACTTGGCAATAATTTGTATTTCATCGAGGCACATTTCAAGCTGTTCCTTTGAAATTTGTGGATAATTTTTAAATTCATGATTGCTTGCATTACCAGCTTTTTTGTGTTTATTCTTTGTCCCATTTTTACCTGGATTCTTTACTTGCTTACTGTAGATAAAATAATTCTCTATACCAAAAATTACTAACAGTATACTGTAATTTGGCAATGAAGCTTTGATACTGAAAATAGTTGTGCAAAAACTGCCATCTGCCACTTCTGTTACCACTTTATCCCAGTTCCAAATAATCACTATTTGGTTGACATTTTCAATATCAGTTACAGTACATATTTCATTGTCTGAATCTACATAGCCATTTTCAACATTTCTTTTCCATGTAATGCTATTTGGAATTAATTCTTTTTTAATACTATATTGTACATTAGCATCAAGCAGTATGCTTACGATTTCATTAATACAGCCAAAACTTTCAATATTTTTGTCAAGAACAACTTCCATGAATTTCAAACATTCGCCAGGTTTAATATTCTTTGATTTCTTTGATGCAATTGCTTTTAGTGCCTTTTCTCTTCCTAACTGCTTCTGTCTTTTCAACCTTTCCTCTGTTATTTGATTCCTAGCTTTCTTTGTCACAGTTTTTGTAACTTTTGGTTTTTCTCTCATTGTTCTCTCTTCGTCTGATTCTTTTGTGGAATCAGATGAATTAGCCATTCTGTTTGAAGACTTTTTAACATTATACTTCTTTGAATTTGTATTCGTGCTAACTGCAGATGAATGGACTTTTGGTGACTTACCAGGAGGAAAAGTAGATAAACTGGCTCTAATACTGTTGTTTTGTAATTCAAGTAATTTTTCTGTATCACTAGCATGATAGAATTGTACTTCGGGAAATTCGAATTCACTTGTATCCAAATCAAAAGAAGATCGGTGGAAAGACTTCTTTCTACTTCCCTCATCAACATTCTTAAGTCCATCATTTTCAAGAGACAAAACGGATTCATTCGAATCGCTTAGAACAACAATTTCCGTCATTTTATAACGATATTTTGTTGAATTGACTCTTAAAGACAACACTTAAAATAGTCGTTAGAAGTGAAAAAATATTTTTAAAAATGTATACCCTTTAATTTTCGTAACTGTGCTATACTCTGCAATATTCGCTAGGTGTTTTTTCAAGAATTTTCTTTCTCATCATTCTATTCCACTTTGCTGGAATAAAAGAAAATACATATATAGCCTATAAGAAACACAACTAAACATGATCGATATCAATATTTGTAAGAAATAACTGATAAATTATTGCTTAAAAGTGTGCTTTCGATCATTTGCTTTGGATAGAATTCTATCCAAATTGATCCAAATGTGGCTTTGAATGAGTTCTAATGATAGAAACATCGGATAGAAGATGTGCATTTCTTGAAATCATTTCCCCTATTTTCTTCCTATTTATATTTTATATACATTCAATTTTGTATAAATGAATTTCTTTTCATTTACAACGTAAACATCCATTTTTCAAATCATAGTATACCAACGACTACAATGTAACAAGCAGAAATTATTTTAATTAATCTAGCGCTAAAGGATGATGTGGCGTTATCTAGAATCAAGAAAATAGTACTAATTAGCAAGCAGTTTAAATATTTTTCCATAGATGGCATCATAAGTCTGTTCGACTTAAAGACACTATTCGCGAACTCAAGGAACTGACCTGTCCTGTAGTGGAAAAACATAAAACTAGTTTGGAGGGTATAAACGTTTATAGTCAGGGATCCTAACAATTGTAGGGTATCAACGGTTTAGAAATAAATGTATATACGTCTAAACTCAATGATAACAAATTTATTAATAAAAATTATTTACAAAACTTAGCAACGATAAATTAATCAGTAAATTAGTATCAAACTTCACATTCAAATTTGTCGCGCAAAACCACATACCTCACATACGCCTACAAATAAGTCCCCACACAACAGTCCGATCGCGCTGCCGCTTATAGTCTCTTGAATTTGCGAATATATATCTATGACTTTGCTTCTTTCTGTAAGTATCGCTCTAATCTTACTCATGTTCCATGGTTCGGGCGTAGACCCGTTTCGTTCCATGGTTTCGTTGGCTATCGTTAACTTTTCAACTCTGGCGGAAATAATGACGTCATGAGCGAAGTGTCGATGACAAACGGATGATACATCGAAATGATACGGAATTGTGTACACGCTAAATTGTTTGCTTTTCGATGTAACTGATTTTGTAGAAAAGCACTCTAAAGATAGCCGTGGCTGGGTTTATTCGTAAATCCGTAGATTTGAAGTTTTGCAGTCTTATGAAGGTAAGAATCCGTTGTTACTCCGTATGCAAGTGTCAAAACTCTTGGTATCAGCGGAGCATTTTAGCGTTAAATATTTCTTTAACATTTGTATCTTGAGAAATATTACGATGATACCTATTAAATTCATTTCACTAGTGAATGGCTAAACACTCATCTGATATTTCTACTTAATAATGAAACATAAAGAAAGTGTTGCAATTTTATTACATTCTCATTATGTTTTGCATTATTAAATCTTACCAATGAAACAATATATAAGAAATATATGAAAAAAAATGGGACACTAAAGTTTCGAAATATCGCTTTGTAAATTATCTGTATCACATTTTAAAGGCACAGGTAATTTCGTTATTACTCAAAGCATTTGTATGTTGTATGCATGTTTATGGTTTGTTTAACTTCCAGAATTGACTTATTTAAAACAACAAGATGTCAGATCACTTTGGTCCAATAACTTTAAAATGGGATCCCAAGAATTTAGAGATTCGTACAATGTCTGTAGAAAAGACATTGGAGCCTTTGGTTTTACAAGTAACTACACTTGTAAACACAAAGGGTCCCAGCAAGAAGAAAAAAGGAAAGTCAAAGAGAGCCAGTGCTCTGGTCGGAACTGTAGAGAAGGCAACTAGTAATTTCATTGAAAGAGGTGAACAAATTGCTTATGAAAATCCTGATATCACTGCTGAAATGTTAAGTGCTGTGGAGGAAGTAAGGAAAACAGGTGCTGCCATGAGCATTGCTGCTAGGTATCAGTTCTCTTTTTATTTTCTTCTTCATACTCCTTCAGTATATAAAAGTCTATGTGTATTCTCATATTCTTATTATCAAAACAGGGAATTCTCTGAAGATCCTTGCTCCTCTTTAAAAAGAGGCAATATGGTCCGTGCTGCAAGAAATCTATTATCTGCAGTAACTCGTTTACTTATTCTAGCAGACATGGTCGATGTACATTTGTTACTGAAATCTTTGCACGTGGTGGAAGATGATCTGCAGAAGTTAAAGAATGCATCCTCCCAAGGAGAACTATTAGAAAACATCAAACAGTTTGGAAGAAATGCATCAGAACTTATGAATCAAGCTGCAAAACGTCAACAAGAATTGAAAGATCCTCAGTTAAGGGATGACTTAGCTGCAGCCAGAGCTGTACTAAAGAAACACTCCACTATGCTTCTCACTGCTTCTAAAGTTTATGTTCGACATCCTGAACTGGCCGCGGCAAAAGCAAATCGTGATTATGTTTTGAAGCAAGTATGCGAAGCTGTGAACACTATTAATGATGTTGCCCAAGGAAAGACTCCTCTCGATAGTCAGCATCCTTACGAAGGCCCCGGTGAATTAGCTGCTGCTTTAGACGATTTTGATGAAAGAATGGTGATGTCTCCACTTGCGTATAACGAAGTACGTACAAGACCCAGCCTGGAGGAACGATTGGAAAGCATTATAAGTGGTGCTGCACTGATGGCAGATTCTTCGTGCACCAGAGATGAACGCCGAGAGCGCATTGTTGCCGAATGCAATGCAGTTAGGCAAGCTCTTCAAGATTTGCTCAGTGAATATATGAATAATGTAAGTATACTGTAAATAATTTTTTCTAATTCTTAACAGATAAAATTGCCTCATATTTGCACAAACTATCTACATATACAACAAAGAGAAATAATTATTTTGACTTTCTCTAAAATTTATGTTTATTTATCTTTCATTCTTGAAACATGCTATTATACACTACATTTTGCAGTTATATAAGTTTTTATAAGAGAAACGTTGGAAAAAATGATTTATCTGTTTTTTTTAATATGTTCGTTCTACTCATTTGTTTTCTTTATTTTGGTGACTGCAGTTACAGCTCGCTCGGGGTGGGAAACGGGTAAATATAAAAATTCATGAGTTCTGGCACTGTCCTTGCATATAATTTAAAAATCAAGCGAGATACATTAATTGCTGAACACTATTATTTTTCAAATCTATCATTTCTACTTTCGTGTTATGTCTCGTAACAAGCACTAATCATATAATTCTTAACAGTCCAGTGTTTATAAATTTTGTAATTGATCTTTAATTCGCACAACTGTACATATATCTATTCTTTCACAGTATTTAATATAGTTTCCAGTCAATAGAAACGAAAACGTATACAGAATAGACACATAGTGCATATTAAAAATGTAACATTGAATTTGCTAAACTTAGACAGAATGTAGCTAGAAATTGCAATTAAAGTAAATGTGTAGTTTAAACTGATATTAGGTTCTACATATATTTAGCTCTTAACATATTTTATAATGCAAGGATTTCTATCAACTATTTAACATTGCAGTTTATTCTCTATGTTTGCTTGTGTAAATAGCTTTTCCATAATACCTTGTTATTACATCTTTCTAAATAATTAAAAACTGTCTCTCATTAAACATACTAAATACGTAAAGTCTAATAATAATATTGATTAAAATGTTCTAATATTTTGCACTCTAATATACAGTTAGTAAGAGGATAGCACATACCTTATTTGAATGATTGCATAGTGCTAATTTGTGTACTTTACATTTAATATTTCATACATACATACATTTAACAGATGGGCGTCAAGGAACAGTCAGAAGGTTTGGAAAGAGCGATCGATCATATGTGCAGAAAGACACGCGATCTTCGTAGGCAATTAAGAAAGGCCGTAGTAGATCACGTGTCTGACAGCTTCTTAGAAACAAGCGTACCATTATTGGTTTTGATCGAAGCTGCGAGAAACGGTCGTGACAAAGAAGTAGAAGAGTATGCTCTTGTTTTCACAGAGCACGCAAATAAGTTGGTCGAGGTGAATTTCACAAACAATATTATTCTATTAATTACCGATCTTTATTCGAAAAAAAGATTCAGTGTTCGATATATGTCAATAATGTTGCATTCATTTGATCAGGTTGCCAATCTAGTATGTAGTATGTCGGGAAACGAAGACGGTGTGAAGATGGTTCGTTACGCTGCAGCTCAAATCGGGAACCTATGCCCGCAAGTAATTAACGCGGCTCGCGTATTGGCAGCTCGTAATCGGTCGAAAGTCGCCCTAGACAACATGGAAGTGTTTAGACAAGCATGGGAGAACCAAGTGAGAGTATTAACGGAAGCCGTCGACGACATTACCACTATCGACGATTTCTTGGCCGTCTCCGAGAACCATATCTTGGAAGACGTGAACAAATGCGTGCTGGCATTGCAAGAAGGCGACGCAGACACTTTGGATAGAACCGCTGGCGCAATTCGCGGCCGTTCGGCCCGAGTCTGTAACGTTGTCCAAGCTGAGATGGATAACTACGAGCCTTGTATCTATACCAAACGGGTCTTAGAAGCCGTGAAAGTTCTTAGGGAACAAGTAATGCCAAAATTTGCGCAGAGAGTAGAAGTCGCTGTAGATGCTTTGGGTAGTAATCCCGCTAAAGACGTGGACGAGAATGATTTTATAGATGCTTCAAGACTAGTTTACGACGGAGTCCGTGAAATTAGACGCGCTGTACTCATGAATAGAGTAAGAACGTTGAATCGACATCCGCTTTCATTGAACTTATTCGCGATATTCTTCTTAATCGTTCTCCTATGGTTTATTTCCAGGCGGATGAAGACTTGGATCCGGAAGATGTCGAGCTGGACGAACATTATACGCTGGAAACTCGCAGCAAATCCAGTGCCCAAACTGGCGAGCACGGTGTCGATGAATATCCAGAAATTAGTGGTATTACAACTGCTCGCGAAGCTATGCGCAAAATGCCAGAAGAAGACAAACAGAAGATCTTGCAACAAGTGGAGTTTTTCAAGAGTGAAAAATTAAAATTCGACAAAGAGGTTGCCAAATGGGACGACGCTGGAAATGATATAATTGTTTTGGCGAAGCATATGTGTATGATCATGATGGAAATGACTGATTTCACCAGAGGTCGTGGACCTCTAAAAACCACCATGGATGTTATAAACGCAGCGAAAAAGATTTCTGAAGCTGGAACGAAACTAGATAAATTAACTAGACAAATCGCGGATCAGTGCCCAGAGAGCTCTACCAAGAAAGATCTCCTGGCATATTTACAACGTATAGCATTGTATTGTCATCAGATGAATATAACTAGCAAAGTCAAAGCGGATGTACAAAACATTAGCGGTGAACTGATTGTATCTGGACTGGACAGTGCGACTTCCCTCATTCAGGCGGCGAAAAATTTAATGAACGCAGTGGTTCTTACTGTTAAAGCTTCGTATGTTGCGTCAACGAAGTATCCTCGACAATCAACGGTAACTGTAAGTATCGTCAATGCTCTATGTTTGGTTATACTATAGTAAAGTATGTAGGAATTTGTATATACCTAATATTAATCCTAAAACATTTACTAACAAAAACTTGGATTATGCAGTATGTAAGTATTTATGCTACTACACTGCAGGTAGTAACGCTTACAGGTTTTATATTAATAATCGGTTTAATTATCTGTTTATTTAGTCTCCAATCGTTGTTTGGAAAATGAAGGCGCCAGAAAAGAAACCATTGGTACGTCCTGAAAGACCAGAAGAAGTTAGGGCTAAAGTACGTAAGGGTTCACAGAAGAAAGTGCAAAATCCAATACATGCACTTTCAGAGTTTCAGAGTCCTACAGAAAGTGTTTAAACTCTAACGTGTAAGTAATTTAATGAATATTAAATCTAGAGACAGCATCACCTTTGGAAAGCCCTTTGAGCAAGATGTTTTATTTTCTCCAGAATATAATATTCGAATATGTAATCTGCATTCATTATCGGTGTCTTATGTATCTTGAAACATAGTCTGTAATAGTCACTCTTTCTGCAAAACAATATCATAGGAGATTGAAAGACAAAATCAAGTGTTTCAAACATATTTTAAATGTTATCAGTGTACAGTCATATAATAACATATATACTACTACTTCCAATACTTGCTACTACACTCGCAAGTGAGAAAGATTTTATATATTAAGAGATAAAGATTAATTTCGTGTTTAAAATGGTGATAAAGTGACAAATATTCATAACAGAATTATAATGCAAATGTTTGAAAATAAAATATCTTGCATAAAATAAATGTTAATATTCTTTGTAATTATTGATCGATAAATGTTCAAAAAACAAAGAGAACACTATATGAACATGTCAATTTTTAGATGACAATTAAATCTTAAAAATTAATCTCATTTTTTGTAGAATACATATACAGTTTTAGATTTGAATTATATACTAATGAACGAGTGTCAGCTATTATTGCATAGAATATAAGAATGTTTTATGATTTGAGGATACATCCTTTGATGATTCATATTGATTACAACATTTTAATCATTATGAAGTACATATGAATATTATTTAAGTAAGCCGTATTTTACTTAAATAAAGCTTCCAATTTTTTATTATTCGTAAATATTAATAACGGAATATATTTTTTTGCAAGTGAAAACTACAATGCAAAAAGTGTGTCCATAATATATTAATTAATAATCTACAATACCAATTAAGTATCGAAGGGATGCCAATTTTTTCATTATTGTGTGTACAATTAATATACAAATATAAATTTTTATTATATACATACATTTTAAACGAAATTTTACTAAATAATATCGAGCGATAAGTGGTGTATGTATATTTACGTATATATGCACGACAGCTTATCATAGGCCTCATATTTTTTACGTTGCAATATTGTACGAAACTAATACTTTTGAACTAAAATGGTAGAAACATATTTAATTTCTTTCACTGTTTTTTTTAACTATTTTACCATCGATACACTTTCTTATACATATCCAGGAAAGAAACATCTCTGAATAACAGAATGGATAACTTTTGTAGTATTATACTATTTGATAACCTTTGAAGACAAAGGTTACTGCTTCAAGTAATTTGAATAATAGCAATAGGCCTTGAATATTTGCTAAATATGTTACATTAATGTCAGTTTCTTATGGTAATGTATTCTTTGACAATAATATTACTGCATACTTTGTCATGCTTTTATATAAAGCCAGCTAAGGTACAGATATTGATTAACATCTTCCAAACAAAACTATATTAACAATTCCTACTGATTACTATAAAAGTCTAGTTGAATGTATTTGTATGAACGAAAACACGAATCTTCGAACATTGCGTATTTGATAATACAAAATTCTAATATTATTTATTAGTGTTATAATTTCGTAAGAGATACAATTTTGCAATTAAAGAAATTGATTTTCATTGAGGGACTTACGAAAAAGCAATAAGAAATGAAACAGTATTGGATTGGAATAAAGAGACTGCAGAACAAAGTATTTAACAATTGTATATAAGTAAATATGAGTATACATTTTCGAAAAAATCTTGTTTACAATGATGTTGTAACAGACATAGCCAATAAGAAGTGATTGTAAAAAAACTGATACCAATTTCATAGTTCCAATAAAACTACTCATAGTTATGCATAATGATTGATTCGCTGATCATTTTTTCTTTTAAGCGAATTAACTTTAAGTTAAATATGTTTTTATTCCTTAGGAACATTGATCAATCGAAATTAATTGCACTGATGAATTATGTAGCTAAAATTGCATGAGTATAAAAATATATACAAGTGCACGTTGTACACCTGACAAATATGTAATAGTAAAGTACAATTGCACTCCACATTACGATGTGTAACGTTTTATTTGTATATTAACGTAGCGATTATAGTTGGTGTTGTCTACCATAGTACATCAAAACGTTTGCAGAAAGTGTGGAATACCAAGAGTTTCACATTTTGTAGGTTTCAACACACAATATGTATTGGTATCAATTTTTTACTTTTCTAAGACAAGTACTAATTTATCTAGATATAATTATAAGATTTAATTGTAGTTACTGATATGCTGCCAAATATAAGGTGATGCTTTTAACACATATCTCTTTTCTACTATTATTTATTTGTGTAATCACTATATGATCTGATGAAATTTGAGTATCACAAAAAATGAAGAGAGAGGATAGCGTGAAAAATTCAAACACAATACACAGAGTTGAATTTTATATATACTTTGTTTACATATTTAATGATACAGAAATAATGATACGAGGTGAGAATCGCAAATGCAAGTATTTAATGGCAATGGTACAATACAGTAATTCAAACTCGCTTAAAAAATATAATTACGTTTTAATCCATCATGCATTGTTCTTGCAAATCGCAATTACCAAAAACAAACTTCGCCATTAATCAAAAAAGATTATCTTATCATTTGGATTACATTCTTTTTTTTTTTTGAATTTTAAATTTTGTACTTTTTTATCTTTCAACATAATAGTTGAAATTATGAATATCTGCACAACCACATAAATGATGAAATGAGAATAAAACACATTATTTGTGCTTTCTAATCTAAATATTACAAATTTCATCTCTATATTAGTAAATTCTTTTTGACAATTTTCTTAGCATTGTTTTCTTTTTTATTATTATTATACATAATGTAAGAGACAACTGCAGTTGCTTATTTCATAAAACCTAGGTAAGTATTATTATCATATACTAAATAAATACAGGTACCATTAAAATAACTCATTTAAAAAATTGATTCTTATGTTCAAATATTATTTAACATTGCGAAAATTTAAGAACATGTAAATTCAAGGTTGTATGCGACAAGACATTATGTATTTGATTACATTGTAACCGGACAAATTTACTATTTTCTTCTACTACTAAAAAAAACAGTTTTCACTGTGAGACACGACATGCTATTAAAAATATTATTAATATGATTTAAATATTGCATGTCATTCGAATTGACACAGATTTAATGACTACAAGATACATGTTAATATAACTATTAGTATATGCTCCGTATTGGGACTTTTTTTTTCATGATTTTATTGCAAAAAGTATATGCATACAAACTAAATACTTCCTTTTAATTAGTAGAATATGCCATTTCATCAGTAATATATAACGAATTGCTAATCGTTAATTAAATGTACACCAGATCCAAATAAACGTAATAGTTCTAAATCTAGAAAACAGTCTCTCCATACTAAATTAAAATTTCAAAATGATGAAGTTGCCTCAATTTACTGCTAATTGTTTCACCTAATCGATGTATTATAGATATCTTTAATTTTTTTTCCTGTTACAAGCTATATATATGCACTTCTTTTTTTTACTTTTTTGTTTTTCACAAGAAGTCACAAATGGTACACGAGATATGTGAAAAATTCAAAAGCAAGATAATACGAAGCGTTTATGAAATCAATAAGGTGTCTTAATTGTGAATAATATATTTGATAAATCTATTTAATTTGCTCTGTAATCACAGTTTCTGCGTTCATACTTAATGCAAAAAATGTTAATAAAATTCGTACATAAGTATGTGTTTCCAAATAGCACATATAAGTGGTGAATATGTGTTTGAATAGTTATGATTTATTAATTTTATATCCCGAATGATTGATTATTAAGTAATATACTTAAATCTTATTTCACTACGAAAACTTATTGCAATGAAAAATATGCAGAGTTTATATATTCAATTTTACATTACTATTTAATACATTCACCACTTACTGTATTTGAATATTACATTTCATATACATATTCTAATCACTTTTGAAATATAGTTTCATAGAAATTTGATTACTTAATTAAAGTAAGTAAACAGTGTGTTTCTAATTAGAGCCATAGAAACAGTCCTTCACAGCCTGCATAAGACTTTCATTTGAGATCTTTTAAGTCTTTCAGATGTATGCTGATAGAGGACCAAAAATATGACATAGGTTATTTTCTTTTTTAAATAAACGAAAAATTACAATAAAGGTCATTGCTAAAAGTTTTTCCATATAATTAGATACATTAGGTATGTCTCAGCAACAGAATATGCATTGGATGCAATACAGTTTTCTTCTTTTAATGCAATATTTCATTTACATCAGTCTTAATGACGTCAGTATAATATTGTTCTTAGTTTATGTCAGTGATCCTATAGAAGGTGTATACCAGTATAAAATAAGTTTTATAAAAGGAACTCTTAGAGAAGTGTTTCATCTAGAAACGCATACTACATTATAAAAACCTTCAGATCTTAATAAAAAGAAACATTCTGAAAGAATTAAAAAGGATATGCTTGTCTCGGATGCAATAATTAATCAGGTGTACATATGTACAACGTAATTCATGCAAAAGTGAATGTGATGTATACAAATTGACTAAAAATTCGAGAATCAATTGGTACATGTTTTTCTTTTTTTATACGCTGCTCCGAATTTATAACAACAGATACATAAGACAAAAATAATGAAAGCATTTACTTTTGGGAGTAATTGTACTTAGTTAAACAAGAAATATGAATTGCTAATTTCATTAACAAGTGATTTATGTATATATCATGATCGATTATATTCACAAAAAATATATATGTAAAATTAAATGTTTATAATATTATGCAATATTTTCTGTCTATAAAAATTTGAATAGCATTCTTTTTTTGTTTTTTTTTCCTCTTTAATTTATGGTTTTGCAACTGATTTCATTAATCTTGGATTATCATATAACAGCATTACGTATTATCCACTTTGACATTCGTTATATCTTTGTACGTTTAGTCACAGTCATTCAACTTTTAATATGCTTCATGTTAATACGACCGTGTTAACTGTGGGTGGTAAATATTTAGCCATACATGTAGTCCATTTTTATTTACTTTAAAGAAGGGAATGTATGGCTTCTATGATGATTCTGCAGTAACTTCTGGTGGTGTACTTACAGATGTTACTGCTGGCTTGAATGCAGGGACAAATTCAGCTGCGTTTGGATTTAATGTACTCTGAAAGTTTACATTATCCAAATGAGTCTCAATACATACTTAATGATGTAGCTTAATAGAACAGTGAATTATACCCGTTCAGCAATGTCATCAGGCAGGTTTAGACGATTGAGTTGCTGCCAAAGTTCATTGTCAACATTTTCAGGCTTGCTTGTATTCCTTTCATGCTGCCTTTCATCTTCCCACATTGCTTTTAAGCATTCCTCCGTCAGTTCCTCTTCCATTAACTGTTGGATCACCTGTATTTTTAAAATATTATTTTATATGAACAAATATTCTTTTTCAGTTGCAACTAATATTGAACTAGCAAAATTATAATTCTTGAACCTCTTTATCGAATTCTTCCTCATTTTCCATCCATAAATACTCGGAAAAGTCACTATCCTCTGTCCCTTGCACATCCAGGTCAGATTCAAAGTTATTGTCCATGTATGAAATAATGTCAGTTTCATGTCCGTAATCATTTCCGGAACCACTGTTTGGAATCTTCATTTTCATTCCAAATATGTCTGAAAATACAACAACTAATTGTCGATGAATAAATTAGTTCAATTTAAACACATGATAAATATTCTATACAATGAAATACTTCATCCTATACAGAAAAATATAATCTATTTCTGCACGTATTCCGTTGTTATATATTAAATTTTATTAAAATAATGTTAAGAATAGTAAAAAAAAAGTGTTCAGTATGGGTTATGCTATATGCATCATTTAAACGTAAAAAGGTACGTAATCTCGTCAAGGGATCGGTGATTTATTGACTTGGTGAGGCATACCTCGATCAAAAGTTACAGAAGAGCGTACAATAAAATGCAACCTTGAACCTTTTTTACGCGTACGGAACTCACAAACGAAACGTTTAAATACGTCGTTACTCTTTCGTTTACACATATGGTGGCGCGACGACTATGAAATTACGTTTCCAGCCGTGGAAATCGAACGATTTCAGCGTTTACCATTAATTTATCGTCGGATGTGTGTACGACTGAAAATTTTGAACGGTAGTGTTTATCGCATCTTAGCGATCGGATACGGGGGGAATCTCGCTTGACAGATCTGTGTTACAGGGCAACCATTTTTAACTGTCTATTTCCTAGTCTCGACTTAACGATATTTCTTAATCTTTATTCATAATTGCGTCGTCTATCTATTGTTATTACGACCGAGACTGATTTTCTACCGAACGTAATGTGTAAACATACCTTTTAACAACGCGTCTTCGGACGTCTTGTGATAGAAAACACGATTTACGCAGTTCATGGGTGAAATACGTGTCGTGCAACACAAATTAACCCTCGGGACCGATGCCAGGACGGTGCTGCCACCACGTGCAAAAAGAGCAATGCACTTTGTGCTCCAAAAGTTGATAGATATTGATTTTGATCTGTGTACTGCGATTATTAAATAACGAGCGGGTATTCATATCTGTGATTTTTCTTTAAGTAAATTGTTAATAAATCACATATAAACAAATACAGGATCAGACGCAACAATGTTTTTGGTTACGGTGATAGACGAAAAATGACCATTCACTTACAGTACAGAATGAATACTATTTTCTGTAAAGCAGCATGATGTTAAATAATTATAGAACTCACAGTAAAGAATGATTTAACGAAGGATTTTCAACTTCAACGTATTTAAAATTGCGCAGCAGAACATCCGATGCGAAGTTAAAATTATTATTAAAATTAGAAGCAGAACAAACGTACATTGTTACATAAACGCTCGGACGTTGACATAAAATTAAGAAGGTAAGAAAGTAGTAAAATGCGGTTTATTTCAGCTTTTCATTTATTACATTTCTCGATAAATCATACACGTTTCCCTTTGATTTTGATTTTTGTACGATTGTTCATAAAAACGTAAATTTGAATAAAAATCCAAAGCGTAACTTATCGGCTGTAACAAATATTTGTAAACAGAAATATTTTCTGGGATGATAAGGTCTGTTATATCAAATTTGATAATTATCCGGAACGTCTGATTATACGCTTCATTCTCTCTCCGTTATTTTTGTAGCGAATGAACGAGACAAGAACGTGTATTGAGTCACGTAGTCGTCGGAGGGGGGGCATCATGGCCGTTGGAGTTTTCCTTTGACCCAGGCAGTGTATTTACATTGAAGCGAGTGGCGTGTGATTGGCCGTCGGGGTGACGTGCGTGTGTGACGTTTCATCAAAACAAAGCACAGTCGCTGCGGCTCGTCGAGCATTTTATCACGGTGGTTCGTCACGAGTGCGTTGCCTCTGCGCCGACGGAGCTCGCGTAAAGTGTCAGTTGATCCATCGTAAGTGCCGCGCCGGATTACAGTGAACACGAGCGTGTTCGGCCGTCACGATGTCGTCCACAGTGAAGTATACTTCCGACGAGAGCTTAGGCGGTAAGTGAAGTCCCGTTTTTCAGATCGATGCAAGCAGCTGTCACTTGGACACTGCGGCCATTTCGCGTGAACGTGGCTGACGCATAAACAAACGCGTCTCGCTTCCTTTTGCGTCGTAGGTATATTTGTTCCTATAGCGTACAATCTTTGAGATTTTCCGCAATTACATGTAAATTCGTATAATTAAATCACCGTAAGTTTTCCGTAAAGCCAGCGTACGGACGGAATTTCAAATATTTTGGCGCGACAATCTGTTTTCTAACCTGACGCGAGCCGGTACATCACATTGGAGTCATTGACTCTGGAAAAATTCAGCTATTAATCCTGCTTGCGTGAAAATTTCTCGACTAGCAATTGTTCGGAGTATTCAGTTGTTCCGTATAAATTGTTTAGTGACGTTGAACAGTTTGATACGCATTGCAGTGGTTAAATACGACTTTCATTTTAGACGAATCTCTGGCTTTGTTCTTAGGGTTTTTATTGATACTATACTGTATATTAAGATTTGTGAATTAGAAAGTTAGAGGACGTGTAGGTTAGCAAATAAACTTACGGCAACTACGATTTTGAATGCCCACTGTCATAAATTTGTATCATATTTTATGTTTTTGCTTGTGTATATATATCAAACCATTTCTTGCAGGCCTTTATTATAGTATCACGACTGTTCTGTGTACACATGATAAAAGAAGATAACCGTGTTAGCTTTGGAACACTAAAAGCAGGAAAATTTTATTTCTGCGTGTATGTACACTGCTTCAATAGACTCGTAGATAAAGGAAACGCGATCGATTTCGAACCAAGGGAACGCGCAATATAATTATAAAAGATGCCAAAAACCTATGCCAAGCATAGAAAAATGTTATTCGACGCCAAATTAAAGATCGTCGGAATAATGTAAGGTTTTTGTTCTTTGAGAATTTCAAAATGGCCCGGGTTTCTATGTATACACGGTCGGTTAACTGCCTACTTCGAGGCGAAGTCGGTTGCTGTAACGGGGAACAGAACGAGGAACGGAAAGGAATAACCTTTATTTATGTTTCTTGGACGCCCAAGGGAGCTCGTGAACCTAAACAACGTATGTTACATATGGCGATGGTTATGATTTTCAGATATTTTCAACCCACGATGTTCAACCAATCGTTTGACATTTAAATCTCGTCTGAATTGACGTGACGGGGCAACGCTGGAATAACATTATTGCGTGCTATATGTATCGTGACATGAGTATTATTATTTGCATAATTATCTTATTTACATACCAGGGAATTAAATTCTAAATAATCTGTGGCGAATACTGGAGTAATTTGAATTATTCTATGGTCTCTGGACGATATAAGTGCCAGTACTGTTCTGCAGGATCAGATTAGAGCTATAGGAAGGATCTGATTCATTTGGTGCTAGAAAATGAGTAATAACAATTAGGTCAGTGTCTAACCGCTCTGTTTAAATGGATCCCAAAAAACGTGGCACTCTGCCAAATGCAGGGACGTCTATCCATCGTCCGATTTATTTCCTACGCATATTGTCTGTTTCCCGTTGTGTTGACGGGTCACATCGGGAAAATTGTACGAAAACGAGGACGTGACTAATGTCAGGGAAGCGAAGCGGCGCAGCGTCATATCGAGTCATTATCGCGACGTAATGATTTCTTCTGTTTCAAGTACAAAACATGAATATCCGCCTAGCAGCTGGCATTGCTTGAAATAACAAATGCAGCTTGATTCTTGGTAGATCTTCTATTCGAGTTTCTTCTCTTATCCCGGAGGCATGTAAACATTGTCCTTCACAAGAATTTCTGGAAAGAGCAATCCACCTGACGTTGTACTAAACGATCCAGAAGCAAAACGATGCTAGAGTTTCATTAGGAGATTAAACGTTACACGAAGCAGAAATCGCAAAGTACTGTATCTCACGACTCCTGGTCGAATTTATCTTTCTATTTATATAGATTCATTTATACAGAACTATAGGAATCGTTTCTAGAGGGGAACAATCCAGGAACGCATCGAATCAAGCCCTGTATAACGGGCTGTGATTAAATTTAGCGTCGAGGACTGGAATTGGACCGGACGCTCGATACAGCAAAGGCTTTATCGTTTCCTGAAGAAAGTTCCCTTTCCTGGAATGCTAGGCAAGCGTATAACATGGCTTACGTGACCGTCCTCAGGAGCGTTCGAAGCTGACGTCAATCCTTCGCGATGCTATAATAGTGAAAAAAAACTTGACCTGAGGCCAGGTTAACGAACAGGTAACGTCCTCAGACGTGACTCAACTCACGGGGACAATCGTCCCTTCGATCCCGAGGCTTGGTAGACGTGACTTCGGAGTCGCACCTGCTGCTCTCCCGCCATTAAAACAGGACAATTGGCGCGAACAGGTAGTACCGACCTCCGCTTCGACCCTCTTCGTTCGTCGTCCCTCTTTGCCTCAACGTTTTGTTCCACGCGTCCTGATGAATATTCATATCGCGTAATGCTCATTTCAATTTTAACGCTATTACTATGTAGACGTAAACTTGCGAACGACTTCTTCTTTTCCATTCGGAGCTATGCTTTCGTGACGTTGGAGAACAGAAACGAGTATAGAGCAATTTCGTTTATTCAGGGGATATACTAATTTCTCTACCCGTTTAGAAGAAATGTTTATTTTATGATAGTCTTTTGTTTGCTCACTTTGCTGGGCTATCCAGCACGCCCCCGGAACGGTTAGATTGAAATGACGGACCGATGAAAAGGGGGACGTGTTCCAATCTATTTTTAACCGTAACGCCTGTTGGCGGGGCCTTAATTCGATTTATTAAAGCCACCTACTCCCCGTGATTTCGTGACACGTGACGTTTCCTGACAATTTTCGTGTCGTTCATCTCGTCTGTACTGCTGTTAACGCTCTATTTATGGGCAATAATACGCTTCGTAATTTCAATGCAGCCTCGAGTAAGAACTTGCACGAGGTCGAGTTCGCAAATCACGGTAATCAACGGTGAAAGATACAGCAGAAAATCCCTCGATAATCCCAACAATCGTAAGGAAATGCACGAAGTCATTATGAACTTCTGGGAAGATCGAACGTTTTATCCTCACAGCTTTCCATGGGTTCGGAACGGTTAATGGCGAACATTAGCGTTTTTATTCGCGAATAATCTCGCTAAGTGGGTCTTCTCGTTCAATGTGCCCGGAGAACGTTGACTCACGGTAAGCGAAAGAGATTTATCAATAGCGTGTGTCTAACGTTTTCCGTTATAAAATGCCTCTACAAACAGCACGGTCTGTTCAAACGATCGCGAAAATAGGTCGCCGTTTGAATTCCACCGCACCCACCACTGTTTCGCGATTAAACAAGAAAACTGAATATTTCACAGGCCTCTGCTAGTGACTATACATTTCACAGGCCTCTGCTAGTGACAATATATTATAGTTATTAGTTAGTTTCTTAGCAATTGCTTAAACTTTCATATAAAACAAGTCTGATGCTTATCATTAGACTGCGGATTTTAATGCAAAATAACATTTTCTGAAGTAATTTATAAAGACAGAAGAAAATGTAGAAATTTATTTTTCACAAATACATTGTTCCTTTCGTTCTTTTTGCGAGCACTGCATTTACGTCGCGATGCACTGTCAACAGAGCCTCGGCGTTGTGCATATTTTTCTTTCGACCGAATCGGTATGGTGATTCGTCAGAAGGTCTTTGACGAAGAACCGAGAGTTCAATTAGGCCTCTGTTTCTTCGCGTTTCAGAGAATCCTTTGTTTGGTCTCTAAGCTCCGAGAAGTTCGTCGAGCACGCGGTACTACGTCGGGGATGAACGTGGATCTCACTCTTCGAAGGAGTAGCAACAACTTCCTTTTTCTTTTCTCCGCTTTCTCTTCCTCCCTCGTCTCTCACCGAATCGTCTTTCTTGCGTCCGCTGTGCGATGATACACGACAGCATAACCAATTGCCGCAATCTCTTCATATTTATCCTGACCATTTCACGGGACACTACATAGTGGCAATTCGCTAATCGGTCCAAATCAACGACGTACTCGAAGCCAGCCGTAACTCCCATCTTGGTATTCGGTGGCGGTAGTTCTGTGATCGCGCAGGAATTTTGGGTTGGTAAAATGGTCGATTCCGCTTTTTCGAGACGTTTTGAACCGCATGACAGGGAAACAAAACACGGAGGCGGCAACGATAATCGATTAGCTTGAACGGAAAAGGAAGGCGTTTTCACTGTTTTCGTCCGTTCCACGAGTTATGCTATTTACTAAGTCGATAGACGACCGAGATATTTGCCTGAGGTACATATGGCGGGCGTGTCCTGTGCATACACACGCGCCACGGCTTATCGCGTATCTCCTTTTTTCCCCCCCCCCCCGCTAGCTTCGATAATTAAATTCATCGGGCCGAAATTGTGTCATCGAATCGATTCCACCCAATTTTAGCGATTCTTTTGTTTTCAAACTCCTAAAAACAGCAATTTTGACTTTTCCAAGTTCTCTAACTCGTGATTTTGACGTCTTCAAGTTCTATAACCCGTCATTCTGCGGTGGGGGAAAGAATAGTAAACGTCAATAGAAAAATCAGTTAATACCTCAAAATTTACAAAAACTGGAGTCTCATCGTTTTTTCCCTGGACCCTTCAACTATTTTGGGACACCCTGTAGATTTTTAAACAGGTATTTTAATGAATGTAGCAGATAATGATGAAAGAAGGACGACAAGTCGTCGATAAGTGACAGATACGGTAGAATCATTATCGACTTCGTCGTGCACGTGACGAGCTAGCCACGATGGAAGTTTCATTAGAGGAACACCAGGGGGGTGGAGGGGGTTGACACGTAGCGGATCGCACGTGCTGATAAATGGAGCGTGAACTTCCGCGACGGTTACGTTTTCGCTATTCAAATCGATTAATTTTCCTTATATAATAAACCACGTGTCGACGTGTTGTAACGGTTGGTGTCAGTTTTTCCGAGCATTCCGTTTGTACGAATGTGCACTTTTGCATAAACCTCCGTCGGTTATCGTCGTATATGCATTAGATTCGGGTACAATAAGAGATTAATCAAAAGTCCTGCGACATCGTGTAATGTCACACTCCGCGGGGTCAATCGTATAGTTTTCCAGTGACGCAACATGATCGCCGTGATTGCTACGTCAGACGTAACGGATCTTGCTCATGAATCTTCCTTGTGGATCGGGCAAGAAGACAGGGGCCTGGAAAATTCGCGTATTTCCGTCTTTTCTCTCCCCTCCGGTTGACCAGAGTTGGGAAAAATGCAATCTAATTACAAAATTTGAATTACAATTGCAATGTAATTGCGGGATAATTACTACGTAATTGTAATTTAACAAATACATTGTAATTTTTATTGTGTAGCATACCGAACATTCCAGCGTTGAACACCCTATGTTTATATAACATTTTTCTCTTGTTTAGACCCATAGAACATACTGACAAAGTTTGGCACTTTCAACCTGGGACACCTTGTATACATATAATAACAATTTTTTGGGCTAATGGCCCTTTCTACCTGCGTGCATATACCCTCGAGATTCACCTTACTGTTCCTTTTGAAATTCTCAGAGTCTTGGGTGGAATTGAATCCCGTACCGGACAGGGTGACACCGTTACCATTCAGCAGCGGCGGGGAGGAATACCTGCGACTCCTAAGGGAGGCGCAAAGGGATTCCACACAATCGTCCGCCAGGCATTCCTTGGCGTCTTCCCGCCGGGATACACCGAGAGATAGGTAAGAGGATGATTCTTTGTACTCAAATATTTCGATATTCGACAACGAAGCTCAACCAATAGAATTGAATACGTTGGGGCTCCTGTACGTTCACGAACAATATGTAACAAAGAAGTTAGGTCTTACTTAACTAAATGAAATTTAGAAATTTACTAATTTCTTCACTCTCATAATAAAATGTGCAGAAGATCTGAGAAAATGTATTGTCATAACATTTTAATCGTCGTTGTAAGAGTGTATTTACCAGTCATTTTGACTGGTTTGGTAGTCTAGTGTTAACACATTATTCGATAAAGAACGTACGCGAACTTGTGGATCTATTCGGTGTCTAAGGTGTGGCACAGGGGGAATGCCCAGGCGATAGACAGCCACGCTATTACGAAATCTGTCCACGCGAAGAGAGAATCTGTGTCGGAGCGCATTACTCCGTCCGCTGGAGTCACCGCTTGGTACTGTACAATACCGCTCGCGAGCACGAAGAGTCCGAAGAAGGAAAAACGAAAAAGAAAGAAGAAGATGAAAATAAGCTGGTAGCATGAGTCAGAAGATGTCGATGCGTTCTTGGCGGAGGGCCGTGGTGGAAGGTGGGATCGTATTCTGGCCGGTCTCTTTATTCTCGTGGGCGTATACCTATACGTTTCAAGGACCGGTGTGGGTGAAAGAAGGAAGAAAAGGCAAACAAGCTGGGCCCTCTTTATACCGCCATGTCTGCGATCCCCGTCCGTGGACGTGACTTTTTCTGGTCCCCTTTACCTTCTTCCGTTTCACTCCTGGAGTTCGATGTTTAGTCTACTCGTAGGCCATCTTAAAGAGGACTTCTGGCCAAGCTGGCCTTAATAACGGCCTTAAGTACGACTGTATACAGTGTCTCTCAAAGTAACTGTAAGTCCTTGAAAAGGGTGATTCCTTGAGTGATTTGAAAGAATCTTTTCTTTAGTGAAAATTTTTTTCCGAAGCTTCGTTAATATTTCGTTAACAATACATCGGAGAATTTTTTAACTAAGGAAAAAGTTGTTTCAAATCACCTCTTTCGAGGACTTACAACTATCCTGGGACCTTCTGTACATTAATTAACATTTCTTCCATCGAAAAAGAGAGAGAGACAGTGCCAAACCCGAAGTTGCTGCATTCAAAAGTTTGGCACCGAAGACACTGTGCACCGTCGACGACTTACGACGCAGTATTTTCCTCGGTTTTTCCGAACACACGTGCACAGACACGGTGTTAACGTTCCTTCAAGGTCGGGCTTGTTTAGTTCGAAACCTGAAGTCGTCAGATAACCGTGGACACACGTCATCCTCGGCGCATCTTCCGAGACCGTGATCGAGTTTTCAGATAATCGACGGGGGGGTAAACGAACTTCCCGTGGCGAGGTTCATCGAGCTCGTTTTTTTTTTTTTCTTGTCTTCGATTCGAACGTTTCTGGCAAGATGGAAACAGTTGGCGATGGATCTGTTTAATGTTTGCTGCGTCGTTTCGATTCGCGACGCGCATATATTCGATGAGGTCATCCCTCGGTGCATGAAGCTTGCATTATGTGCACATATGTATATCTTCACATCGTTCCGTGCGAAAGATTAAAGGAAAAATGCAAAACGGAAATATATCGTACGATGCGCGGAGGTCAATTGATACAAAGTTGATAAAGTTATCGATGAGTAAGACAAAACTAGTAGAATCAGGGGGGGGGGAGGGTGTTTTCTTATTCTCTGTTACAATCTTGTGTCGATAACGGAATTGCGTGTCGGTCTTTTTTGTACGTTGGGGATATTGTACCAATGCCCGCTGGAACGATTGAAAATTTTTGTGAAATGTTGCATTACAGCCCGAAGAGCCCTCCGAACAGCCCGAACACGGAACTGTCGACCGAAGACGAGCTGAAGGGGGTCTATATAAATTACAGCTGCAATAAGGTCAGTTTGATAATCGACGCTACTAATACCGTGCGCGTTCATGACTATGAACAGCCTTTTCACTTCCTCCGACCACGTATTGCTTCGTGCTCGATCAGCGGGAGCCACTTGATCTTCCAAGGCTAATGGAATCGATCGTGGCAAAAAAAGTCAATGTCGCAATAGCGATTTTAAACTACTTTCTCAAGGAGAAACTGTCCTATAAAAATTCGATTAAGTCTTATTGGATCGACTCGTACGTATTTATAATGTACTGTAAATCCCTACATATAATGCTGACTTTTTAATGAGGTTTAGCACCGTGATAGAGCTTGGAATTCTGAAGCCAATGATATTTGTTTTAGACGCATATGGCTATTAGTTTATGAAATATTTAATATTCAGTGCCGGTGACCCTTCGAACACTCATCGAGGATTTACTGTGTTTCCTTCTTCGAAGGTTTCTTTCGGGCAAATTTTTCACCCCCTTTTTTCGGTTCAACTCTTGTCTTTGTAGCGAACGCGTGTTGCTATAGGCTCAAAGGGACTCGTGCAACTGGTTTTATCGAACGAACAAGTCGGGTCACACTTTCCACTCGAGGTTTGCTGATCGTTGTTTTCCTCTAACCTCCTCAGTTTCAGTTCCCTTTATGGGTCATAGAGCACGTGCTAGGGAACAAGTTCATGCGACCGATCGAAGTCGCCGACACTCGCAACGAGTCACAAAGAACACACCTTCCATACCATGTAATAAATAGATATCGATGTTTACATTCTGTCTGCAGCAAATTAATCTGTTTCAAAGTGGCGTTCAATAACGATACGGAAATCAATAGCAGCACTTGAATCCAGTCGTGATAATTCCTATCAGGCCGAGTGTTTACGCTAGATTATAATTATTCTCCCCTGCTGGGAATATTGTCCCCCGCGAGAGCTTAATTTTCATAATAAAGGAAAACTGGGGAATTTTTCCAATACGTCCGTAAACAATGCAGCAACGCACACGATATATAACATCGTCTACCAACAAGTATACAATCCCGTTTATCGGCTCCGTCTACGAACCACCACGTGGACCCCCATCCCCTTATCGATCGATTTATCATTAGAGAATGGTGCACGAAAATAGCAACAAAGGACAATAGTATCGGCCGTGGGATGAGTAATAGCGATAACGAGCCACCGTAGAAGAAGTACACTCGAGGATTTTCCATGAGTCAATTGCCCAACCCAGTGTTGCTACGTGTTGCATGCAACCGCGGCGCCTTTCTTTGTGTAGATGCATGCGCCTTTGTGGAGGCGAGACAGGTCTTTGGAAAGTGTGCAGCACACAGTAGTCTGCCTCGGTTTCTTTGAGCGTTCTCGTTGCTTTCAGCTCAGATAACTAATTAAAAATAGAATATATCGTCGCGAATCTTTTGCGTACATCCCTGGTCGCCGTTGGCACTCTTTTGTAAGACGTTTCCTTTTGCCATCCACGAGTCCCAGGCGTATCGATCGAAGCGTTTTCTGCGTTTCGATCACATTATAATAAAACGGACCTGCTATGCAGAGTTAGGCAAAATTTCATTCGAACAATACATAGTGGAAAGTCTACTCATTCGAGAAGAAATAAAAATTGGAATTTCCACGTTTAATCAATTGAAAATTGGCGAAATATTTTTTTTCTTTTAATCTTTTATTCGTTATTTAAAAGTTTTTATCTAGACAATGAATTTACCGATCTCTGATTCTATGTTTATCGAGTGAGGTGCGAATGAACGGCCTTGATACTCGTATCGAGAAGCAACGATGTTTCTCTGCGACGGAGAAACGGTCCTTGATACGAGCCACCGCGTATTAAACCGGTAATCGGATGCGTGCACACCGTTGGTCTCTTTACCAGTCAAGGACACCGAGATTCGCGATCGTTTTCTGACTACGCTCCCTCGCATGTGGCGCGACACTTTAAGGCCAATTTCGTGGCTGAAACTTCGAGAAAACGGTTCCTATCGTGGTGTGTATATGGTGATACAAAAAGGGGCTTCGTAATATCTAGGGTAGATAATACTTGCCAAACGACGAGAAAAAGTCCTAATAAACATTAATAATTTAGTCCTAATAAGACCAAAAGTTGCCCGGTGTAGACACCGCTTAATTGATAACCGATCACGATCGAATCGCGTCGCGGAACGAGACCAGGTTGTACACTTTGCCACGATGCACACACGGTAGATCGTTCACCCGCGATTCTTGGTGTTCTCCAGTCTGTTTCGCCGTTACCATCGAGGAGGGAATATCACGCGATCGCTAGCCCACGAATCGGCGCTCCCCTACGCTCTCGCGATTCTCATCGCCCCGTCGAGAAACCGGTCCTCCAGCGGTCACCGTGTTCGAGAAACGTTTCACGGAACACAGACGAGATATATTATATACACGTCCACCGACGAGCAAACCACCATTTAGTTTTGAGAGTTACTGAAATTTATGCCAAATTAACATTCGGTTTAACATTTATTTCAGTACTTGAAATGAATTTACTGCGTGGTAAGAGACTTTTTTTTTCTACGACACTTTTTCCCCTAGCGGAAGTCGAGTTTGCTCGTGAGGATACACTGACGTGGAAACTTGGCTTCCGCTAGGGGAAAGAACCTTTGACCATTTGATAACTTTATTTCGAGCATTGAAATAAATGTTAAACCGAATGTTTCCCGATACCAAATGGTAGGAGGCTTTTACTAGGAGTTTGCTCGCGAGGGTACCAATGGTGTGGCAGCACGCTCACTGCTGGATTACATATATTATATCAATCCGACTGTTATGCTCATTCCGCGTGAATGCATTCGAGTTGTACCGTGGAGAACGGGATAGGCACGGGAGAGAAGTCGCGTGCATTACGCTGGAACGATTCTTACCGCATGAGTCCATCGGTTTCACTGGTACGAACATGGTAGGAATTTATTGGAGTACTGTACAACTCCTTTACTATACAACTTCCGTACAATAATTGGATTAACCCTAGAACGCCCAAGGGGGAGGTGACTCCTCGAACCCACAAGTCAAATAGCGTAAAATTATAACTATTTTCTGTCTGCAAAAAATGCTCAAAAAATTATTTATTAAGTTTGATATTCGAAAGTCTTCGTTACTGTTTAATCCATTTGTGATATAACTCAGCGTTGTTACTTTTTATCCCAAGGTAGAGCAAAAAGTAACAGTTCGGCTCGGTCAATTTTCACGGTCGTAATATTTTTAACAATTAATCTAAAAACATTACGCCACCATGGAACTAACCTTAAATCTCCAACCTATTCGTATAAATTAACATTAAATCTCTAGCTAATAGATAGACATTTTTCTTAGATGAAAACCAAAAACTGTTATTTTTTACCCCGATCACCCCTACTCAAGAACCGTATTGAAATTGGCGCAAAATTATATCGAAATATTCATGAAATGAACTTATTAATTTCTGTAAAACTGTCCAACATAGTTTCTTTTTTCTTAAGGATCCCCTACCAGAGCTGTTCCAATGAATACAATTTGTTCGTAATTATCCAAGGAAAAAATTCAGCTCGTTTATGGTCAATGTCCCCGTAGAAAGTCCTGTGCGTGTTTCCCTTCGCGAGAAGCAGCTCACTCGATAAAAATTTCTCTTTTTCCCCTGTTACTCGACGTTCCCCGCGTAACGCCGTTCCACTTCCGCGTAATCCGTACGTGAAATCGCGTTTCCGTGAACTAGTTCCTATACAAAATCCATATATCGTGAAAATTGGGCGAAATATAATCTAATTACAAAATCGAAATTATAATCACAATGTACTTGCGGAACAATTACACTTATACTTACATTGTAATTTTTATTGTAAATTTAGTATAGTTAATTACAATATCTTGCAATTACATTGTAATTTGTGATTTGGAGTTTGTAATTAGATTATGATTGACAACGACACTCAATCCTGCGTCCACCCTTTGTTCATTTTTGAAAGATAAAAATAACGAATGGGGATTCACAGAAACGTGTTTGTGGTTTAAGTCATTCGAGAACACGCCCGACGGAGGTGTAATCGGATTGCATCCGGAAAACGTCAGTTCGTCGCGTCGGGCCCCCTTGAGTCCAAGAAGCGTGGTTTACAGAGGGGTGTATTCAAGTAAATGAGGTCAAGATACGCCGCCTCCGGCTGTAATTCACGGTTATTACGCCTGGCGAAAAGAAGTTAGAAGACATTGCGAAAAGAAAAAAAAGAGAAAGGAAAAACTGTGTCCCACGACGAAAATACGGGGCGGTGAAAGAACCTTCGATGGTCCCCTCTGGTATTCAACGTCGCTACCGTTGTGGTTTACAACGTGATACTCTATCGATTCATGGTACGAAAAATAGGTCGTTCCGTTAAAAAAAATCAAGGTGACCTGGACATCTCTGAAATGCCTCCACCCACAAAAAAGCTACGTACTTTATAAGATGTGCTTGATGCCATTTATGTTCCACGCCTCAAAATGTTCATAAAGTGTATCATTAAGTCATTATTCGAGGTGATCATGTTAGCTGAGACACCCTGTATGAGAACCGGCGACCAATCCAATACCGTCCACGGAATCAGACCACGCACCACGGGTATCAAATGAATTCGTCAGGTCTGCTCGTCGTGCGCCGAGGGCAAGACGTGCGTGACCTGATTTCCTTCGATCGGATCTTGACTCTTTTTGCGTCGTCGGAGCTTTTGTCCTCGAGATGACAACAACGCTCCGGTAACTGAAGTTTTAATAAATTACTTCATCGAGCTGAGTAAATCGTTTCCAAGCTGTTACCCCCCCCCCCCCCCGTGTGTGGTGTACCATTTTTTCTTTCGGAGCACGAGAAGTAGATTGGATCATCTTTCGAGTGGCGAACAGAAAAGCCACACAGGGACACTGTGTATACAGCTTCTAAATCGGTTCTCCTCCGTGAAACGCTAATTTATGACCGTTTTTTCTCGCTCCTGGAGAAATGGAATCATCGCGTTGACCTTTTTATTGCCCCTACGGTGGGAGTTAAAGAAAACGTCGGCTGGAATCGCGTTAAAAAAAGAATCCGACCGGGGTACCGAGAATCCGAGCCGGATTTGGTAAGCGATCGCGGGGAATAGGATTACGAAATAAATTTACAACGGGATTGATAATCGAATATATAATATCGCGATTTAATTACTTGAATTTGAAAGATTCGATCTATTGATATTCGTGGATTTCCTTCGAACTGGACTCGATTAGCAGCCCTTCCGGCTATACTGCAACTGCAATAAGCGAATGGAACGTTCTAGGATCAACGTCGAAACGAGCCCAAGACTAATACGACTCGACGCGACTAACCAGGACGACCGATGGGAAATATCCTTAAAAGGATTTCCACCATGAGCGGCTCACGACGTCGCGAAATCACAGAGGCTCTTAAATGCTTGTTGTCTTAAGCCCGGTTTCAAACGGGTCTTTCCGATGTCTATCTCGCTGATGGGACGAGATTAAACAAAGGCCGATAATTCGAGGCTAATGGATGCACTCGAGTGACTCAAACTGCGAAACGGTGATTCGTTTCGAGCTCTTAAACAGGCTTGAGGTCGTGTTAATCGTCGGGACAGCCGTCCTTTTCTTCGTGTTCTGTGATGGATCGTCTTCCCACACTGGTCACACATTCTTCGATATTCAGGCCGATCGCAACGAAGTATCGGAATGACAGCCTTGAACAGAACGATTCCTCGATTCTCCTACGTGTTGCATTCGGGCATACCACGTGGACTATCGAAATTAAGAAGGTGATTCAGGACGGAAGTGTTTTCAATATTTATACACTTTTATTTAACTCTATTATAATGCTTGTCGCTATAGTCAAAACTTTGTCATCAATTTTTAAACTATTTCTTCATAAGCTATCGAGCTGAAATTTTGTACACGCACACTCTTTGTGGATGACAATGCAATCTGGTGCAATTATAATTTGTTGTTCGAGAGATATGACTAATGTTGTTCGTAATTATGACTAAAAAGTAGAAAGAAAATAGGGAAAAAAATTGCTATAAAATATGCTTTTATTTAAAATGTATAAAATAACGAAAGTAAAAAGAGGAAAATAATTTATCAGATAATTTAATGGAAACAAGAGTATAAGACAAGAGTATAAGAGTATATCGACTAGACTGCTGTCCTTTAATTACGAGAAAATGTTTTTTACTTTCTTACATTCGACGAATTCGAGCTCAACTTGAATTTCGTCAATAGCAGAAATCAACGTTTTCACGTCATCGCGAGTATAAAACGATCGCACGTCCGTCTGTTTACGCAGATTAATGACATTTAACAGTCGCATTATAGCACTTCTACTCCAGGGATTTTTATTATGTTCCAAATAAAACAAACACCTCATCAAAGTTCATTAAATATGTTTGTATACTCAGATTTAAACAATCATATTCGCTGTAATGCATAAAATCCGCATTCTATTTATAACGAATGAATATCAGCCACGGCATGTTGTTTGAAAAAAAGAAAAAGTTAAAAGTCGACTGGCTATCGGGTGTCCAACGGTCTTGAATAACCGTTGTGTCGTTTATACCAGACAATCTGTCCAAATAAAACGCGTCCAGGAATATCGTTTTGGGCTTCCTGCGCCCGGCCAATATATCGAGCCTCGTTATCAAGCCAACGATAATGATAAGCTCTTGTTGAAACCAATTCGATCCGCGAATGGGTTCCTCGGGATCACACCGGTTATTTCGGGATCACTTTCGACCTCTTCCTCGACATTCTCGAAACGTCGTCGAGCTCCGAATTCGCGTGAATTTGACTTTGAACGGTTTTTGTTCGATATCTTAGAGTTAAAAAAAGCACCCAACAAATTCTTCATAAGAAGAAAATGGGTATCTCGACATCCTGATCGGGGCAAGATCAAAAATACATTTCTGGTATTCTCTCTCCTCTCGAATTTACGGAATTTATCGTCGTGTTTGTGTTCTTTTCGTCGCAGGCGGGAAGAAACAACGAATTCCATCTTTTAAACCTCCGGAACCGGTCGCGCGTGTAGAACTACATGAGAGTCAAAAGTGACTATAATTTCGCATAGATGCTCTATTACATTGAGATCTGGTGACTGTGCAGTATGGTTTAATCGATTGAAAGTGTTTCCCAGCAAACAATTTTTCATTCACTACCTTTGCTGTATATTTCGGGTCACGATCTCACTAAATGAATGCACTTGCAGGTGAATTTGATTTTAAAATATTTAAACATCGAAATTTGTTCACAGTACCATGAATAAAAGCTACCTGTTGGTATTTGGAATTACTGAAATTTATGCGAAATTAACATTCGATTTAACATTAATTTCAGTACCTGGAATAAATTGACCAAGTGGTAGGAAGTGGAAGCCGAGTTTGCTCATGGGAGTTCACTTAGTTTTGACTCTCACTGAATTACGCGTGCAAGATACGGATATGGTGATCGATGAATCGCAGCAACGCCAGGCGATTGTTTACAAACAAACTCGATGCGTTTAATTGCAGAGCGTGTGCGCACGACCGTGTCAAGTGATACCCACGATTATGATCGCGTTGCGATTGGCCGTTCGCCAATAGAAGTTATCCTTGGGCGTTTTTGCCTTCGAAGTCATTCATAGATTAGATCCCACGCGCGAGTCGCTACTTCCTTTATCTCGTGGGCAATAAATTCTTTCCGATCGTCCATGGATGAAACAAGAGCTGTCTTCTTCGATTGAGGTTTCACAATAGAGGTTTCGTTCGACGAAAACCATCATCGATCGTTTCTTCACCGATTTTATTGAGGATCGCGAAAAATCAAAGGTCTTGCCCAACCAGCCACGGTCGATTTACGATACCTATCGGATTCTTACGGACGACAGAGTTGAAACTGATCCCAATTCTTCCCCTGGTCGTGTCGGTTTCAACGCGTCAGCCTAGCAGAAAAACCAGAGAGAGAGCTTTATGTTACGAGCATAAAGCCGGTAAACCGATCCCCCGCGACTTCCAATTCAATGCAGACGCCACCACAAGGACACGCGTGTGCATCTTCTTCTATTTCACGACGGATACGCGAGATCTTCGCTTTACGGCTTAAGCATTTGCACTCGAAGCTTTCTTCCCATGGGGAACCAGCAACTCCGCAATATTTAAAAAAAAAAAGATTAAAAGGAAGATAATACATGTACTCAAATTGAACATCACTTTTTTTTTTTGTTTAAACGTTTCATATAGTTTTACATTTTAGAAATATAATATTTAACCCTTTGCACTCGACCGTCCCCTCTTAATATCTCGTTAACAAAGCCTCGGATAACATTTTCGCTAAAGGAAAACTTGTTTCAAATCACTTCGCGAGTCTCCCATTTCCGGGTCCTCCAACATTTTTGTTACACCCTGTATATAATGAAAGAATAGCGTGGCGAGTGAGACTCACCGTTAAAGTGGAAAGGGGTAAAACGCTCTTTCGGATCAGCGCCGAAGAAAGGATTACATACTGTGCCTTTGTTCTTTCACAGGAGCCGGAGCTTTTGGATAAGAACACCGACTGGATCTACGAGTGGAGTTCGCGTCCGGACCAAGTACCGCCAAAGTATACAAAATGTTCTTTATTTAGATATATACACATATGTGCTGTGAAATAGTTGGTTGAACAAAGGGTAGACCTGTAAATATTGTAGAATCTTTATCCAGAGGAATATGTATTGACATATAAACATTTCTTACCAGCATTATTATTGCGTTGCAGAGATTGGAAATTTAAGCATCCTCTTGGAATGAACAAGAGGAAATCCTATAGCATTCGTACTACAAAAGTGGGCAAGATTGGATTGTTCTCCAAAGAGGTCCTCTATACTCTTTTCATTACAAACATTCTATCTGTATTGGTCGGCGCTGGCTTGGGGTACGTATTACCGTAACTTAAGTGAATTAGTGAAGCGTATTTCTCCATTGAATTGTGGCTCTCATTTGATGCCACTGAGATGGCCGAAGATGTTTGTAGTTAAACAGGTTGTACATAAAGTCGTATTCCTTTCGTGAAATAATGATCCAATAAGTTAAGTCTATTAGATATGCGTAGGGATTTTTGTTTGAAAGTAATGGAGCATAAGGAAAAAGTTACACAACTGAGAATTATGGCAGGAAGTTGTAGAAGTAATTAAAGAAGTAAAAACGAATCCTTCAGAAGATGCTGTACTATTCTGTATTCTTAAAACACCAGGACGGGCGGGATAAAAACTTGGATATGTGTCTGTTTCGTAGAGTCTGGTTGACCAGGCGAGGATCGTTAACGTCCAGCGTGACCATTGAGTGAAGAAGTCCACTAACCAGGACCGCGAACGCCAGGATTGTTGCGTTTGAATTTGCAAGGAAACGCGGTAAAGGGATGGTCCATATTGAGCTGCAAGAAAGACTGAAGAGCCATGAGGGTCGATTGAGCCTAAAGGATATAACAAAAAAAAAAAAAACAGCAACAACTACCAAGAAACACACGCAACACAACTATTTCGATTACCCGCGATTTTAATATTAGCACTATTCGTCTTAATCCTATCCTGCCTGACAACAAACTTAACGGTGTACTTATTGAACACCGTATGTAAATCGTGTTTGCAATTATATGCTTAAGGAGAAAGATAGCTAAAAAACATACACACACACACACACACAGACACAAGGTTAATATGATTTATTATTAATAGTCTAGCGTTGTTGATACAACAAGAACATGTCCATTTTATACCGTTTCTAAATGCGTTTCTATCTACGATAGTTCATAGGCATAGCTTGGATAGTATTTATCTATAATTAATTATTAATTGTTACTCGGAGAGGATACGTGTTGAGAACAGATTTCGAATGTTTATGAGAATGAAATGGGTAGAGAAAGAGAGAGAGAGGTGAGACGTGTCGTTTGAAATTACACGAAGGGAGACAGTGAGAGAATAAAGCATAATATTACAGAAAGATTGAAAGAGGGGGTCTTAAAAGGACAGGAATTGCATAAAATTCTGCTGCATTGAAATTGATGTTCAATGTCGGCACGAATAGCGAAATTTATTCGAGTGTGATGAACGTTCCATACGATTAAATAGGATTTGTGGTATCCCCTTTCGACGGCGTAATAATTGGAATGTTTTTCGTAACCTACAGTACAATAAGGCACAGGTTCGTTAGAAATGATTTATACACGTACAATGCATTGATGATTTTTATTTCGTTCGCACGTTTTTTTCTTTTTTGGTTTCACAATGTTACGACCGCCGAAAAGGCTGGAAAACTGTAAAAGATCGTGTTAGTTCTTTTATTTCTTTTCTGATTTTGAATTCGTTATACGATTTAAGTACCGGACTGACAATTCCAACATAATTATTTACGTTAATTGGCGTGTCTCTATTCTTACGTATTTATTAGGTAGATAATATCGATGATGCACTTGGAATATTCGACAACGATTTTATATGACGCGAATAATACTTTTCTATGGTCCAAAGTACACATAAGTTCAACGAATTACAAACAGGATCATCTGTGACCCAACGTTCCAAGAACTTCTCGAGTCAATTGAATTTTCTTTTTCATCGAGCAGTTACAAATTATTTTGTTACAACACTTACAGTTCTTCTGCGGAATTACAAATCGCTTATCTCTCGATAGCACAATGCGTGATTTATATTAAACTATAATAAATATAACAAATAGAAAACAAAAATTCTACAGCAATCGAATCGCGTTGACGATTTTCTAAGATTTATCCTGGTTTTTCACTGATGACAAATATAATATATGTACCCGTGTATTCAGTGTAAGATGCTGTATATTATGAAACAGTGCGTATTCGATGTAAGTAGCAATTAGCCACGCAGGTTTTTGTATTTTCAATAATAATTCTATATATTATATGCGGTCTCTTTACTTTTGAGTACCTTCAACGCGTTCGAATGAATGATAAAGTTGAAGTTAGTCTTGATAAAGCAACGTATAGAGGACAATGAAATCCAAAATAGACAACTGCGCACTCTTCAGAGTTAAGAGACTTGTCTTTACGCTATTGTTTTTAAATGTAGGTTTATGGCTTGTAAAAAAAAATTTAAAAAAAAAAAAAAAAAAAAAAAAAAAAATGGCGCATACACCGAAAACCCCGGGAACAACTTACGCAAAGCACGAACACCTAAGAAAGCTCTTCTGACCTCTCTCAACTCGGCAGGACCAAATAAGCGGAAAATAAATCTAAGCAGCTTTTACCAGTCCACATGTCTGATCGAATCGATGCTCTTCCATCGAGCATGACAAACCACGATAACACGATAACTGACGAGAAAAATATCAGGATATTCATCCGGATACTTCCGTTGGAGAGACCTTGCGAATCGTGCGTAAGAATCGACACGGATCGTAAAGTAATAAAGTTTCTACTAGCCCGTGAGCCCGTCCAAGTTTCATTATCGCCGGGAATCGAGATTTTAAGGAGGATCTAACATTCATGTTCTATCCAGAAAATATTCGTGCGGTGTCTGCAAGAGTTACAACCGAATAGGATCGCCACGACGAATGAACCCTCTTATTGGTGCTTCAAAACCGATGGAATATTTTTCGACACTTCGCAGGAAGAGGTTTACCGTGTCACTTGCGGGGACCTCGTTTCGAAGTAAATTAAAAATAATGTTCTTTGATCGTCTGCAATTCGAACCGAAGATTTTCATTCGTTAAGAATCGGTTGTCGTTATCATCTTTTAAGAATTCTAGAGGGCATTAGCTGTGTACTGATGGGCCAGGGTCAGACAGGCTCCGGGAAAAGCTTCACGCTCAGCGGGCTCAGAAACAACTGGGAAGTATGGTTCAGAATACATTGAATACCTATCCAAGAGTAATGCGAATCCAGTGATTACGTTCCTCTTCTCAGCACAGAGGCCTGGTCTCGAGGATTCTGTCGGACATGTTTTCAGAGAGATCGAATCGTAAGAAAGTCAGCACGATACAGTATCACGTGAGTTTCGTCGAGTTGCACGGGAAGGAAACCAGGGACCTGTTGTCGCCCCGAATGGAGAACAGGATTCGGATAAACGATCGAGATCCGTTTAAGGTGTGTGTGTAAGTAAAGGAGAAAATGATAAGTGGATGTTTGTGCATTCATTACTGGGAACCTGTTGCAACCCCTAATGGAGCGAACAGATTTCTTTTCGATTCCGGTTTTCTGTACATTAGCTCGTAAAAATCGGTATTTGCATCAGTAACTGCTGCCTAAGGTGTAAAAAAACTCGACAAGAATCGCAACAACTGGTAACCGTTTCAGGATGTCACTGTAGTTCGCGTGGAGAACGAAGAACAGGCGCTGAGGAAGCTTTTCGAAGGAGAGAGCAAGAGATCTACCGTGTTGGGATCGACGTATCCAGCCTCTCATCTTGCGTCAGCCGTGATCACCATTCACGCGACCAACATTAGCTTGGTTACATCCCATGGCGTCGTAACCAAGGCCAAAGTAATTAGCAGGCAATGATTCCAGTGAATGATCTAAGGGATCGATTCGCGTCTATTTAGATACACATCGTGGAGATGGCGGGCATTGGAACGGTGGGTAGAAACGGCGGCTGTAAAACGGCATCGGACATTGGCACGGCGAATTTGACCAAGGTTCAGCTGGAACAGTACTTTACGTACCTTAGAGGCGTAAAACCAGTCGCCTACGATGCAACTCGTTCTAGTAACTTGTTGAAGATCCTGGGAAATGCTTTTTCTGTTTCGTCTGTGATCCGGTGATTAACAGCGGAATAATATAGACTAGGTGTTTCTATCCTCGAGCTTGATAGTTAATGATCGAATTTTTTGACAGCTTTATATCCCACATACAAATCACTAAAGAGGATCTAGACATTACCCTATCCACGTTAAGGTTCACCGGAAATATCGCTAAGTTGAAACCTATGAAAGTCAATGAAGATGTGAAGTATCGCCAGGATTCACTAGTACAAAGGCTTCAGAGTGAAGTGGATGCTCTGAAGAGGGAGTTGATGATAAACAAATTGTTTCTAAATCAGGAAGCTTCGATAAATATCTCGAAGGCACGATTGGAGCAAATCAACAGGAGCGTTGTTAGTTTCCTTAGTGGCACCATGAGTGACTTTACATTGTACAATGTCTCCCAGGCTCGACAGCTGTTGAAAAGTATCAAGGATTTGTATAACAGGTTGTAACATACATCTCGAACGTAATGTAATTTTAAGTTTATCGTTGTAATTGACGATGTTGAATGGTTAGATTCACTGCCAAAGAGATCGAGATTGATCAGCTGAAGATTTTGTACGAAAGTATGTCAAAAAGTATAGTAGATGCGAGCACATCGACGAGAGTGGAAAAAGTATACTAAACTGTTATTTTTCGGTGAATATTTTCATTATGTAATACATTTTTAACATTAAGAGCATACAAAATTCATGTAGGGGTCGGCGTTATTCGTTGATAGTCAGTCTCGTACTCGAAAGAAAAATGATTCTTTGGGAGACTTACTCGAAGTGAAAGAAATTGCGAATGAAACGGAAAAAGGAAAAGTTGGAAGTGTAGTAAAAACTGGTGGGATGATTTTGCGATTTTAGCTACATTACCGAATAATTTATAGAATTTTAAATATTGAGTATCTGTAGGGATGACTTTGGGACCATATCACAAGGATGAGGAAGAATATTGGAAAGGCAGTAATGAATTAGCATCTTCTGAGCACGTCCAACAGAATAATACTCACAACGTCATGATGGTTAGATTATTTTATCCTAGCATATCAAATTTAAGTATTCTTATTCAAAGATTTGAGGCTTTTGTGTGGTATAGTTCTTACTATTGAAGCTTTCATTTATAGGCCGTGTTTTTTTGAAAAAATTGTCCGAACGTTTTGTCGCGAATAATTTTTCCAAAAAGAACAAAGCCTATACACGAAAACTTTAATAACTGTATAAAATATTTCTTCTGATATTTATTCGCGTCTAAAAGATTCGACAGTTGTTCGAACGTTTTCTAAAAGAGGCACGAGAATATGCGAAGATCAAGGAGAAATTAGATAAAAGCGAAAAGACTTTAGCGACAGTTCAACAAAGATACTCGAACTCTATCGATATGTATTTCCAGGTGATTAAAATTTCCTTGTTTCTGTAATTAGTGTACTCCAAGTTTATATCTTTACTTAGAGAGACTGATTTAGCAGTGTTATTTATTAGGTAAAAAGTGCTCTGGAGAATGCACGAGATAAACTTAGTAAATGCCAACAAATTCGGCAGGCCATGAGGCCGAAAAATGAGAATGAGGCGGTACCGGAAATGGAGATAGTTCTGGCGCGTGATATTGCATGTCACCAAAAGGTTCTAGTGAACTTAGAGGAAGAGGTCACACAAGCACAGAACGAGATCCGTGATTTATTCATGGAACAGATCGATATGCGTTCGAGACTAAAGTCAGGTTTTCGGGAGTATTGTAAACAAATGGATGTATTACCACTTTACAGTGACAAATTGATGAAACTATTGCTGGAACCGGTAGAAAAGAAGTCATTGGAAGGAATTAAACGAAAGTTCAATCAGTTTCAACGAGCGATGATGCGTAAGTTCGAGGTAAATGCTGAATGACAACGAATACATTTTACAAATGCAATTAACACTTGTTTACTTAATGAATTCGTACCATTTGACTTTACCAATGTTAGGAAAAAGAGAGAACGAAGAAAGCGCGACTCGATGACACACAGATTTGCAAAAATCAATAAAACATACCACGTACTGTAGCAGTAGGTATTTTTTAATCTAATACAATAAATGCATTCAATATCCACGTTGTGTAATGTAATTTCATGTTATGTAGCTAGAGTAAAGTAACAATTAATTACGATTTTAACTAGATCGTTGTAATTCTATTCATTTAAGAATTATTGCAGCTTAATTTATGTTTTCTATTTTTGCGGTTAGTGAAAAAAAGATATTGATGTAACTCTGTAAGGGCAGATGAAATATAAAACTAATCCGGGTTCAAATAATGTTTGCTGCTGTAACCGTAAGATATTGTAGAAATCATGGCAACAATCATTTGCCATGGAACCTTCTGATTTGATTAGTGGTGCTACCCGTGGCAAGATGCTCAAACTATAAGAAAAACCTTACCAACGGGTGAATGTACGCTAGGGGGTGGTGCAGCCATCTACGGAAAAAATGATGAAACTATATGTCAAATAGTACGGTTTCTTGTGACCAGATGACACTCGACGATTGGTCGTTACATACATATATGTATGTAGTTGCGTACTAGAAGCTTTGTTACCCAAGGAGTCAGTCGAATAGGCGCCAAAGGAAATTAAAAATCTATATATCAAACCATCCGGGGGTGACGGTTCTCCATGACGTCATCAGTCGGGACAACATCCCTCGTTCCAAGGATGCGAGTTCGACCCGAGTACCGTTTATTGTTCGACAACTTGCTGGAATAGGTGTATGCTAAAGTGAAATTATTCCTAGAGGAATATACTGATAAATAATAGAAATTGTGTACTGTGATCATTTATGCCAGTGAAGGAAAATCGTTTCAAAGATTAAAGTATCCCATGGAAATGCAACAAGCGTCAATGCACGAGACACACATCGATTTCACCGGGAAAACATGAGTGGCAGAAATAACGGGCTGATCGACGCGAGCCCCGTGGCTAATAGTGGGTTTCGAGTGCAATGCGAATATTTTATTGGAACGGGTGAGTGATAAATTTATCGTTATTTCATTTGTGACAACTTTCGGTTCAAGTGTCGATCGCACTTAAGTTGCGTTGCACTTCACGAATCCGCCAAAAATGTTTTTTTCTCAACAATCATACTCCTAACGATTATCTTTCCTTTTCAACGAGTAAGTAACTATACATAATTCTTTACCGTTTTCTGTTTTGTGCATTTTTACAGTGCTACTTATAGCAGATAGTCGATAATATTATTTTGTATGTATCTATAAGTACATGTAACACCTGAAGATCACCACCTGTTAACCATTCTGTAACATAATCTCCTATACGACACCGTAATACAATTTTACTAGATGAAAGAAAAAACGATCGCAGTACTTATTCATCCATAACGTGCTTTGTATAATAAAACCTTGCTGAATTAGTAGCTTTAAAAAAAGTCTGTATTTATGCCATGTCCTTTCTCATTGTCTGACCTAACACTGACATATACTACTTACACGTATCGTAAACTCTCGATATGAAGTTTAACAAAATTTCAAGCAAACCTTTCCGCGACCTTTTCTGTTTTCACATTAACTACACAATCCCTATCCTATTACCATTTATAAGTAGAAAACATGTGCCATTCAATATAAATGATGTTATCATTGTAAAGATGTACGTCGGAAAACAAAGGACATGGCACACCTGTAGATACGAAATGCCGGACTAGTGGAAGTTGAAGAGTAGAGAATAATAAGCAGGCAGCTGTAGTGCAGAAGATAGAGAAAAGAATTGATTGGTACGTAGTGACAGCACCCTACAGGAGCAAGTAAGGATAATGAGTCACGCCCAGCAGCATGTACTTGCAAGTGCAATAGTTCTTGCTCTGATAGTGGTCTTCGGCATCCATGTCTTCCTATTTCCCATGTACACATCCAACCCACCAGCTCGCCACATAAAGATCTCAACCTATGAACAAGCTCTTTGTCGTACAACATTAAAGAATATCAAAATACCACCGGAATGGAGAAATCCTTGTCCGATGTATGGTATAGTATCCGCAGTCCAAGGTGGCAGACTTGGTAATCAAATTTGGGAATATGTCTCAGTCTGGGCTACCGCCAGAAAAACTGGTTTGGAACCATTCATGCCACGTTGCATACTGAAAACTCTAGAAGAATACTTTGAAAATCTCAGTATTCCACCACTCAGTTACATTGGAAAATGCACCCTAGATGTTAGCAAAGTTGTGAATTCCCTTGGGCAATGGAACAGCACAGAACAGAACATCATCATACCAAGGTAAATTACTCCAATGCTAGTTGCCACATTTAATGCTTTATGTTTCAGTGTTTCCATTGCAGGCATGCAGCATACTGGTCTCTCATTCTAGTGTGGTTGGATGATGTACGAAGGGAATTTACGTTCAAGCCAAACTTAAGGAATTACGCGGAAAGGGTACTAAAAGAAATAGCCGAGGAGTTCAAATTGTCAGAACCAACGTTTGTGAGCATACACGTAAGAAGAACAGATTATATAGACTATCTATGGCACAAATTGAAAATTAGACCTGCCCCTGTTAGCTACTACTTTACAGCAATGGATTACTTTGTTGGCAAGTATAGAAATGTAGTTTTTGTAGTAACTAGTGATAATATAGTTTGGTGCAAGTATAATTTGCATAGTAAACGACATAGAATCAAATTCGTGTCCGATATAGATGCAAAAGGTCCTGGCAAGGATCTAGCGGTTTTATCAGCATGTAATCACAGTATTATAGATTATGGTACATACGGTTCGTTTGGCGCAATTTTGGCCGCCGGTGAAACTGTAGTGTACAATGTAACAACATACTTTTCTACCTTAATTGCCGAAGTTTTGCCAAACTGGAGAATAATGAGTTGAACAAAAATCAAAAGAACACTTCTTATGGATCTCAAATTAGACATAATGCCTGTACAAACACAATATTGAAAATACTTTTTATACGGAATAAAACGATCGTTTCAGTCAACGTTATAACGCAGAGATTGACTTCTCTGTTATTATTTCACAATTAAAAATGAAATTTTTTGTACTATTTTTTTCTTGTACAAGTTGGTTGTTGTTCGTAACGTTTGAATTTACCATTTGAAATCAATAAATAGTAATATTTCTTTATACTTCTAATATACACAGAAGGCAGCATACAATTATTTACTTAAAAGTCAAAGTTTAATCTATGAAACATTTTAAATTATTCAGTTGTTGTAATTCATAAAGTTTCTTTTGCAGTTTCTAAAAAAATCAAATGAAAGTGTATTGTTATATTTCAAAAAATTTATATCGAAATGATATAAGTACGATGCTGATAAATTGCTTAGGAACAATGTGCATAGCTTTTCACTTGATTATGGCACTATTAGATAACTATTAGAGAACCGTGCACCTTTAGTGGTAGTAAGGAAATTTACATATTTTAAAGAATTTGTAAAAATCTAACATAGCAGGGGGATAGAACGGAACAATGGACCACCAATGTCTAAAATTAATACAGATGCTTATTTTTTTTACTACTGAGAATCATACTGATACGGCCCTGAAAAATTAAATAGATTCGATATTCTTTTGACACAATGAACCAACAAACTGAGCCTAATCTAAAAATCTTCAGAGGAAAGAAATATATAAACTTTACACTGGTCAGAATTAAGAACAGTGATTCTTGTAGATTCGTATTATGTATTGTTTTCGGAATCGTAAACTCTTGTCTAGTGTAGAGTTGTTTCGTGATATATTGTAACAATCGGAAGAAAAGAGCATAGTTAAATGTATTTGCATTATGCACAACGTCTATCATACAAGGACAGACTTGCAGATATAGATAAAAAGTATTGATGATCTATGTCTCTTATAATGTACAATGATTTCAACTGTGATTCTATTTCTTATTGTGCCAAAATTCTATATATGTGTACAGAACATTTATGTATTCGTTGATGCAAATTTGTACACATACACACATATACAATGAAGTTATATCTATACAAGGTATTATATAATGTTTACAAATATGTAAAAGAAAAAAACGATAAATTATTTCTTCACTTGACAATTAACTATTTCTGAAACTGAAGAATCAATAGATAGGAGGAAGACGTATTTTACATAAACCCAGTGTATAAGCGTTTGAAATTTATTAACCACGTGACCTGATATATTCGATTTATAATATTTTATAAATTAGTCTAGTCGATGTGTCTATGTCTATATGTTAATATCTATACATTTATGTATACATAAAACATCTTCAATGTATTTGATGCCTGTTAGTTGTTAATTATAAAATGAAGGTATAGTAGAAAGAGGTGATACGAAAACGTACATCACAATGTAGAATTTATGAAAGTGTTGAAAAGGAATAATTATAAATGTGTGCAACTTTCAGGCACTGATATGATCTGCTCTGTACATTCTCTGTGATAACTTTATGTAATTTGTAAAAAAAAATAATAATAAGACGGATGTGTTGAAACTTACTTGTTTCATAAAATAAAAATAGTCTGCGTCGGAAATTATCTATATTTTTTCTGCAACTAATCTTGTTTTATTTCTCATACGTCTCATGGATTATTAACGATAGTCAATCGAGTAGAAATGTATATAAACTAACTGTAGTACAAATCGTAGATAGTCTATCAATACCAACTAACGATTCGCGGTAACAAGTCCAGCAGGTCCCAATCCTAACTTTGAACCTGCTGCTTTCATTTGTAAAGGTTGAAATCCAAGCTCGCTTTTTGGAATACCATACTTTTGTAACTTCGCTTCGTACGTTTTAAGTAGATCATCGTGTGCTTTGCAAACTTTCGCTAAATCATGCTGAAGATCTTTTATCGCGGTATTTTTTCTATTTAGTATATTCTGTAAAAGAAAAACAAACGAGTTATTCAACTGTAAATATAGCCATGAATAGCAGGTAATTAGTATTTTTCGCATTTTATATATTCTGTAAAAGGAGGAGCGAGTTATTTAACTATAAAAATAGGGATAAAGAATTAGTATACAAACCTCTAATTTCTTATTGGCGCTAACAACAGCCATCGGATCTAATTGAGCAGCGACAAGTACTTCGCTTATCTGTGCTTCGCGCTGCTCTAATAAGTCTGACAACTTTTCAAGCTTCTTTTCTAATAACACATTCTTCAGTCCTGTCTTTTGTTGAAGTTCCAGTATAGCCGAGACAAATCTTGAATGCAGTTCATCTCGTTCGGATTGACACTAACGAATAAAATATACTTTCAATTAAAATGGAATAGACGTTACTTACATCAGATAGAAGCAATCCCATACTTTTTCAAAACGTAGTTCCAGTATTTCATTTTCCCATTTCAAATTTTCAAAATCTTTTTGAACGATTGCAAGTTTCTTTTTATAACTCTGGAATAACCAAAAATGAAATGTAATGGAAAATTAGGCTATGCCGATGCAAAATTATTACAAAATACTAACAATTAGTGCCTGTTTATCTTTTTCGTAACTTTGTAATTGTCGGGTGAGCTGCGTTACAGACTCTCGGAGAGACTCCAGATCAGCTAAGTATGTTTCTTTCTCAGATGTCAACTCTCGTACTTGTTTTTTCATCCATTCTTCATTACCTCTCATTGCCTCCATTTGTTCCTACAATACCAATATCACAGTAATATCGACAACTCTATAGATTATACTAATCGTACCTTCATACTCTTAATCAAGGACAGATTATTCAGAGTAACGTCATTGTAGTAAGTTTTCATTTCTGTGAATGCTTTCTCATGATTCTTTATTAGATTTGTAATTTGTGTGTTCTTCCTTTCTTCTACTTCTGTTATTTCCATACGATGTTTCAGAGTAAGAGACTCATACTGACTCGCTAACTTATACTCATATTTCTGTTCCATTTCTGCAGCTTCAGTTTCAAACTGTTTCGTTACTTTATCTATTTCCTCAGCGTTTTGCTAAATAATAAAGTTAAGTTTCTATAATTTTACTCAACAGTGTGAAAAAATTTTTTGTATGTCTCTCATACCAATTTCAATGCACGTATCTCATTCATATGTGCTAAATCTTGTTCTTTCATTGTCTTCTTCAGATCCTTCTTGTCTTTATACAATTCATTCTCCTGAATTGTATGATCATCTTGTGCCAATTTTAATGCAACCATATGTTCAGCTTTAGTCTCTGATAGATTCGTCTGGTGTTCGTACATTAAGTGTTTCACTTTTTGCTTGTATAATTTGAGTTCCGCTTCATGCTTCTCAGTTATCTCTTCTTTCTCGCGTTCTTTATTTCTTTATGTACGTCAGGTATTAATTGAACGTAGAATTAAGTACTCGAGTTAAATGAGTGATAGACATACCTAAGAGTCGCACGAGCTTCATCCAACTGATGCCTCGTGATTTCCCAAAATGTGCGAAGTTTATCCCTTTCAAGCTGGAAGTAAGATCTTTCTTCCCTTTCGCGCTCCAACTCTTCAAGTATCTTGTGAGCATATACTTCTAATTGTTCCCTATTCATTTTCGTAGTGTCCGCTCCATCAACGGTAGCTGGAGTTTTTGCTTTCTTCGGCCCCTACAAAGTGTAAATGAAAGAAAAAGTATCAGTATACCTATTACTATTGGATTTATGATTAAAACTTAAACGCTTACCATCTCGTATAAAAAGTTGGTATAAAAATACTAGTCAATCGCAAAAAGTATTCTAAATCACAGATTTGAGACTAAAGTGTAAATAATGTTTTAATAAAGTAAACTATAGGCTAAGGCAATAGTATTAACTGTCATTGTAACACATCTACAGTGATATTGACTGGTATTGACAGTTGCAAACCATAAACGTATTATACGTCTATGTTGCAAACATAATAAACATATTGCTACTTGATTTCCAAGTAATGTGTACTGTATGGATTGAATAGTTGCCAAGCAACCAAAACTGACGACTTACAGAAAAGCTCAAGAGGACACAGACCTTACAAAGCATCGTAAAGTATTGTAATGAACACAATCATAATATGTACTCGAATCATTTTATTCAGAGCCGAGTGTATAAAAAATGCAATAACGAGTCAAGAAATGCATGCAAATCTAATAGTACAATTTACACAACACTTTGACTAGGAAGTATTAATTCAAGTCTTCTAACATCTCGTGTCAAATATTGAATTATTTATTAATATAAGAAAGTTACATTCGTTCCTGTTTCATAAAAATAAACATACAAACGAGTCTAGTTTCATTACATTTTTAAATACATACAAATGTTGGCTATAATTTTTTATACATTTTTTCGTAGTGTTATAATACAAATATGCTCGTTATATTTTCCGTCCTATTGTTCACCGAATTATAAATTATTCTATAACAAAAAAAAATGCCTGACAATATACTATGTGTCTATAACTTGAGGCACCTTATGCATACTGTGTTAATGTTTTGTAATATCAAATACCTCATACATTTCCCCTTGCAGTATTCTATAAACGGAAAAAAATGCATATAAACAACTTTTAAATGTGGTCACTGACCATTACATGTACTTTGTATGATTTTTAACCATTATTAGAATATAATACTAATCGTACCCTCTACTAATCGAAATATTAATAACAACGAAACATACAGCAGTAATAAATATATTAAATAGATACTTATTGCTTGTCTTTTCAGCGGTCGTGAATGATCGAAAATTTATAAAAATGATGAATTTCATGCATTGTATGTAAGATTCTAAAACGGTATTTATAAAAATGTTAAAAAATAAAATATTAGGTAGACTAATCTTACCCATGTAAAGAACGTTCAATTGAGATTTATGCGTTTAGGTTTTGGTACATCGTAATTTCTTACGTAAAACCGTGCAAAGTTTGTGCCTACATTAGGTCTCTTCGCAATAATTATGTAACACGTTTTGAAGTAATAACTTATTATGTGCTTACTTGTAAAAATTGTAATAAATACGATGATAATACAAGCCTGATCTCAGGTCTCCATTATCGTTAAAATTTCGTGTAACATTATAACTGTATATATAAGATATACAATGATTCCTGAGAAATTAAATATAACAAAAATAAATAATTGCATAACCATCCTTGTGAAAAAGTCTCACTCGAATTGACGTATCAAATGGAATGCTATATTTTATGCAATTCTTTGTAACTTTAACTTGTTTCACCATTAAATTGGAGCAGACATCCTATCGCGCCAAAGTAACCCTATAATTGAAAGAAAAAAAAAAAGAAATTTTAATAACGTCCATTTTATTTAATACGGGATTAACGAAACTACATTTTAATGTATTCTACCTCATGCTCCAAGAACAAAGCTTTCATTGTTCCCTTGGACCAGTAATCCATTGCATAAGCCAGAAGTTTCATTGATATAGGATTTACCCTGAGGAAATTTCCTACAAATACCACCTAAAATTTCCAAGAAAAACAGTTAACACTATATTAAAACTATTATATAGGGAAAATAAATGCTATAAATTACATATTCATTTTACCCTTTCAATGTTTTCATTTACAGCGCACATACGCGCAATAGAACCAATATTGTTGGTAATGGTAACAAGTGTTGCACGTGCAAGATCCTCTTTACTAACTGCATTACGACGTTCTTTGGAATTCATCTGTCCAAAACTGCACACATGATCAAAACATGCAAGTAAATCTCTTAAATAAAAAATCGATTATACAACTGAAGTATAGAAACTCCAATATGCTGAATTATTAAAAACATTACCTGCTCGCCACGAGATCACCAGGCAGACCGAATGGTCCATAATCTCCTCCATAAATATCTTTAACTAACTTGTCGACTCTAGTATTATCACCCTCTGTAGCTAATTCTATTGCCTCTTCAAAACTGTTGCATCCGGTTAATAAGCAACATAATCCTAAAAACGTACCACCACCTAGACTAAATGTGAAATGAATCCTTGAATATAAAAGTTTCTTTGTGCAATACAATTTATTAACATGTCTAGAGATACAGCATACCTGGTACCAGAAATTCTTTTATAATTGTCTGACCCATAGACTGCTAATATGCTTACCCCTGACCCAATATTTACAAGCTGCAACAAAAAGTTATAAAGTATATAATATAAATTTGGTAATATAGATTATGTATAAGATATTTTGAGAAACAAACATACCAAGAAAGGATAGGGTTCAGAAAAGTCATAAGGAACCTTCTGACATTTACTACTGTCTGTAGGATGAGACCAATAATAACATTCATGTGGATTTGTTGTTTCTATATAAAGCATACCACGTATTAAACTATCTAATTCGTCAAATTTCGCTAAATTCATATTAACTTCCTATAAAGAAAATATTTATTTAGTATATTCATGTGTACAAGGTAACAAAATATAATAAAATAATGAAGTCTCGCCTGTTTAAAATTTTTTTCAAACTTGTATGCTCCACCACCGGTAGCACAAACTGTTGTTACAAGATTAGCCATACCCTTGGATCTTGCTAATGCTAAAAAATTTCCCATTTCACTTGTGGGAAATCTAATGAAATGTAGCGTACCACGTCTACCTCTGATACAAACATTATCCATCTGTAACATACATAATCTAATATTTAGCATTTCTTAGAAAATTTAAAGGATTTAATCATTTAACAGACATACTTGTAAATGTGTATCCCTGTGGCCTGTCTTCCCATATGCTGAATTTTTAACTAAATACCGTCTAATGTTTTTTAAAGTTTCCACTTCTGCATCTGCTTCATCCCTTGTAATGTCTTTTGGCTCAAAGTATACTAATTTAGATAATGTTCCTCCTATATCCATACCGAACCATGGCATTGCTAAACATAAAGATAAAAGAATATTACATTATTATACCACACAACCTAATACATTGAAATCATATATAAATATTTAAAACATATTAATACATTATTAAATAGAATACAGCAATTACAAGCACATACTGTTATATACATGTATAGACTATTTCATTTTGTATTGAAAACAAAATCATTATGCAAACAACGAGGAAATACAAGCAACAAATGTACTGCAAACTTGTAAGACATTGTCATCACAATGTAAATAAATGTAATAGAATAAAATAAAAGTGGCTACTCTAAGCACACATACAATTGAATGACTCACAAGGTGATGAATGGTTTTTGGACTCTGTGGCTGATGTCTCAGACCCAGCAAAACCATTGGATGCCATAACTTTTGATGTGATAGGATTTTTATAACTCTGAGGACTCATTGTTGAACTTCAAATTATTCACAACTAATCTTGATATATTGTATAATTCCTTGTCTGAAAATGAAAGAATAATAGAGATTATTACACTGACAATGTTTACTATATGATGGAGCTTCACAGAGTATTTTTAATGCAATAATATAAGAGTAAAGCATTGAAATTTAATGAAAGATTTTTGTACAACCTGTGACTATATACAGTAATCACATTATAAAAGTATTTCTTCTTTGAACATGTAATTGTATTCAGCATTGTAGCAAATGCCAAAGGTTACTCTTTAATTATGCATACTGTGAGTGAGAAACATGAATGCATTATATGTTGCTGAAGACTTTGTATAGTGTGATAAGTCATGTCAATAAATAGTATGTAGTTGTAACTTAAAAAAACACAGTTTTCTCAATTATGAACAAATGCAAGTAGAATAGAATTACAAGTGGTTTATATTGTTTATATCGAATAAAATCAATCACACTAAAAATATAAGCAATTTATATGTATCATTTAATATACATTGAACTACATTTTTTTTACTAATAATATACTCCAAATGTAAAATAGTATGTAGGACATTCTTCTATAAAATAATACTGTTTCCTTCGATTTTACATTAAAAATATACATTGTCTCTCTCGTAATTGTATTAAAAAGGTTCTAGCGAAACAAAACGAAAAACACCAAAAAAATTTCATGTAAACTGGAACGAGTCATGACATTATGTGACCGTGACACTAAAAATTAGACTGTCATTTTACAATATTAATCCGATACATATATTGATGAAGAAACAGAGTGAAAAATCATGTTACAAATTTTCTAACTACAATCGCAGGTGTGGTATCGACGAACAACTGCTGCACGTCACATTATTGTTTTTATAGAATTATTTGCCACAAATATTAATCAGTTTTACGGTATCGAACGTTAGAATCGTTAATATTACTTGCAGAGCAATGCCATCCGTACTTGTGATGATCTTAAACAAAGAGTCATAGAAGCGTTAGCAGATACACTTGTGTGTATCCACTCACTATCACGAGATCACGCGATTTACGCTTTTTTTGTCAGGATTTTTGTCAACGTAAAGGACAAAAAAATGATTAATATCAACCACCAAGTAGACGTATCGTTACTATTGGCCGCTATCTGCTATTGGCTAATCCGAAAACACGAGAGAGGACAAAATACAAGCCCGACTTCCCACGCCAGCTAACGATAGAGAAACGAACCGATCGAAAATGTAATAACTGTATCGCGTGCGTACAGCATATACGGTACAGGGTACAAAAAGAAATAAGAAACAATGTTCTCTTACCTGGAAACGTCATTTCTGCATGAAGATTAAATAGATTCTCACGAATTATGTGTTCCTTATAAATTTATACGTTAAATTAACGATAAAAGGATTGATATTACTATGATAACAGAGCAGGAATTTTTTCGTATCGCTAAACCAGTATTAACACTTGTGTATTGATGCTAACAGAAATATCCGTTTCATTAAGTTCTTTGGCCGGATTTAGAAAGATTTTCAATATTTACATCACAATTGCTTGCTTATTTTTATATACACTCTCGCAACGTCGTGCGATAGCAACCTCTTGGACATTACCTTAAGATCACGAGCAAAGATCGACAAAGCAATACTTTTACCCCTCCTAATACTTACATATTTGCCTTTTAAATTCCAATGATCACGTTGGACATCGGTCACGTTGGCAAGAAAATGTTGGTTTATGCTAATTTTTCTTGTAATTCACGTATAACGTCCGATCGCTGACGTCATAGATTTTGGTTATCGAAGATCTCGTCGAAAATATTGTATAAAGCAAAATGATCACGCGATATTATCACCACAATTTATCTTGAGATCTTGGTTCCAAAGAACATAACATTAATCCTTCTACTAGATACTCAAATTACAACATTATATCTTATATAAAAGTTCGAATACACGTATGTAAATATACTGTTGCAATCGGTGGGTTATTTTTATTTTATGTAATTACTTATTACTATTAATAAATCATTCGATAGACGTAGTCGGTTGTTACGTTAAAATAATACTTAGGCCTACAAAAATTTCATTAAGTATACTGAATGATTAAATGAATAACATTATTGAGTCTTGAACGCTTTTATTAAGATTCAGTACTACTCATTTCTATTCGTGCCTAATACTTAGTTGCATTGCGCACGAGCCATCATAGAAATCTTCTGTGCTTTTTGTACTATGTCTGGACAATGTCTACGTCGTACCAATTTACAGTCCTGGAAGAAACCCTCGTTTCTGGGAAATCCATGAGATCCATCAGCATAAGTGACTAGTCCTTTATTGAGTAAAACAATTAATAAGTTTACTATGAAATGTTGTACATTTGTTACATGACACATACCTAAGCCCCATACACGTCCTCCACGAAACTCTCCTTCGAATTTCATTCCATCTGATCTCCAAAATACTCCATGGCCATGAAACCAACCCTGCATAAATTCACCTTCATATCTAATACATAAAAAAAACATCAAAGTGTGGATAATCATGTGATTTAACAGATTGATCTTATGGTAACATTTACTTTGCTCCATCTGGGAATACTATTACTCCTATGCCAGAGCACAATCCATTTTGAAAACCACCATCATAACGTGTTCCATCGGGAAGAAGCAACGAACCAGCACCGTGTTTTAAACCTTTCCCATTCCAGTCTCCAATATATTTTGTGCCATCCTCATATTTGTATGCACCGTTTTTTGCTACACCTACAAGTAAATGTGAACATACACACACTTCTAATTCCCCGATTGTAACACACACAATTTCTAAGTACCAAAAAAAAAAGAAACTAACACGGGAAATTACTAAAAATTAACTCTTACCATCACCCATGCTTCTGGTATACTAAAAGCATTAAAGAGTAGCTTTCAGGTTTCAATCCTATTACAGAAATCAATTCTTTATTCAATTATGTACAGTATGTACAATATAGCACAAGTACAACGTAGTAAATCTAGCTTTCTTGTACCGCTATATAGAAATCAAACAAACATGTTTACTCCACGTTTCTTTAATACGTTTAAAAAAATAGTAATAGATTTATATATTTGTAAGTTACATAACATTTTATTTGTATTTTAATTTCACTTCGGATAAACAGATCATTGTTCTTTCGTTCCTCCCGGTGCGCCAACCAAGAACCACTGTGTTCTGGTTTTTACAGCAGCTTTTCGGACCAAGCGTTTCCGGTCATCAAGCGAAATGGCTAATTTTTCTAGTACATCTTGTTTGTACGTGTTAAGTAAAATTGTCGGATAGTTGCAATAATTCATTAAGCATTCGAGGGCTGCTATTCTAACTCTCTGAAATGTATAGTTACATATGAAATATAAAATAATGTAAAACATCGGTAAGCAATTTTATAATGAATTACCATTGTATTATAAGTGATCAGTTTCAAGAATCTTGGAATAAAACACTGTGCCTTGTCGGAGAAAATAATATGTTTAGCTTCCAGTAGAACTCTTAATGTTATTAATGTTGAGAAAATTAATTGTTCATTGTCAAGAGATAAAGACTCTATTAAAAGTGGCACCAACTGAAAGAGTACATATTATAAGAGTATTTATAAAATTATAATTAAAATATATAACAATATAATCAATACCTTTGTCAAATGCATAAATAGAAGTTCCATAGGTACTTCTTCCAATAAGTGTACTAATGCAGTTAAGTAATTCTGTCTGGATGAATCCTCGAATAGATGATTTTTTTTCAGTAAATGTTCAAATACTCGTTGCTGGTAAAAGATTTTGATGTTACAAAAATTTTCTCGTACCAAAACATCTTCTTGCTTATTTGTCAAACATTTATATTCCTGGGCAATTTGTTGACCTACTTGATCGTGTTTGAAAAGATTTGTAAGCTACAAAGACAATATTATAGAAGTATTAAATATTAGATGTAAGTTATTTTAGAAGATTATTGAAAATTGTTACATACTTCGTTTAAAAAGATTTCAACATCGTAGGAACCCTTAGTAACTATGGCTTTTGTTAACCATATTTGCAAAGACGCTGCCGTTTGCTGTATTTCGACACAAGTATCCGATGTTAGACTGTTATTTATTTTTTCTTTAAGATATGACAACGCACGTTGAAAGCATTCACTACTATCACTCATTTTGTTTAATAGAACAGCTATGAATTTGCATGTTATAAATCTTATATTCGAATACATGCTGCTCAGTGCTAAATTACATAAGTTTTCTAATAAAATCAAATTTATCGATAGATTAACTTTTTGTCTTAAAGGAATGAAAATACTCATTAATAACACTGCATGAGTTTCTGTAATATTCTCGCTTAAAGTGGCAGCATATTTATGAACGACGTTTTGCTGCTCCTCGTATGTAAGACTTCTTACAATTAATTGACATATGTTTAGAATTAGATCTAATCTCCGGTCTACAGAATTAAGTCCCATAGCAGCTAATTTCTCAATTATATTACATTCATTATGCAAGTAATGTTGAACATTATAGTCAATACTTTTTGTACCAACTAGCCTATGAAGACACGTTAATGCTGTAAAGCTTATTTCAGGATTGATGGCGTTCGTCTGAGACACAATGTGTGGAAGCACTTCGGTACCTAATTTATATGTTTTAGCAACAGCTGCTAATACTTCTAGTTTTCGAACTTGTACCACCATCGTCTCTTCACCTGAAACAGTTATGGTAATAAATCTGTATTCCGAAACCAGTTGCGTGAAATCATAATACGAAGACAAACCGAGTTTACCAGTTTTTAAGTTAAATCTTTCCCTTATTAAAGCTGATATTTCTTCGGGATATAACGAGGCAAATGCTAATAGAGAGGTGTGGCAAATTATCCTCATTTCATTGGAACTTGTTTCAATCAGGTTATAAATTTTGTCATAAAGTGAACTTCGATGCGTTTCATGTAAATACATCTTTTGCACTATTAGACCAATTGACAGTCTTGACTGCAGTTCTGTATGCTGCGTTGATAGTTCACTTAAATATAACTGAGGTATATCTGTCCACGATAGCTCTGGAACACCTATATCAGACACTCCTTTACTATAAAGTATTTTTATAATGGTGCAACATATCTAAATATACGAGTACATACTCTTTATATTAAATCCATGTTCAGTACTGATTTTAATAAAATCGTTTAATGTTTCGATTAAAATAACTTTATCTGTTATTGAAGTCTTGGTAGAATATTGCCCAAGACATAATGGTACTACCACTTTTAATATATGTTCACATGATTCTTTATTAACTGTTGCAACACATTCTAACAATTTCACAGCTGGTCGAAACAAGCTGAACTGTACATCGTACAAAGAAGATTTCGTATCTGTGATTATATTATCAATGAAACCTTCTCTAAGCTTGGTGTCACTTGATATAACTTTAATTATAGACATAACTGTGTTTAAGCTTGCATTTTTCAATTCCAAGTCTCCACTACGTATAATTTCTTTCTTCAAAGCAGACCATAATTCTATGAGGTGTGGTTCAATGCCTTTTGCACCAAATACTGGTACACCTTTGCACAACAGATTCAAAGAGTCCAACTTGGCAACTTTAAGATTAGATGATAATTTATCAGTTATAAGTGGTATACAGAATTCAGCAAACTGTGGTATAGCACAAAGGCAAGGTTCCAAATTTTCTGCCAAATCATTGCGTGTTATTCCTACTCCAACTGACCCAGACTGAAAAATGTTAAGTCAAATTACAATTCATACTTGTAAACGATAAACAAGTAAAATTTTGATTGCATGATTTAATTACAGGATTAAAGTCAACTGGAAAGTAACATGCAATGACTTCAAACATTTCTTCAGTCAAGTGACCTAATGGAAATTCTTGCATAAACTGTGGAAGTATGCTAAATAATAGCATAAGATTTTTAGGATCTCGTTCTCCATCAATAGAGCTAATGACACCATAAACAAAATCTGGTCCCATAGCTTTCAGGTTGTCTATTCTATTTTGTAGTAATGTTGTAAATATTAAATATATGTTACGACGATCAGATAGCAGTTGAGATTGGCATTGAACATTCTCAAAGAGAGCTCTAAACAGCTGTACAGGTGATTCCTGGGGCAGATGATTCATTTGAACCTAGAATAACAGTGTTACACTATTCTGCTTTGTTAAATAAAATTATTAAATATAACACTTACAGTAGCCAATATTCCTCTCAATACTGCTGGTACAATGCTGTGGTGATCCTTAAGTCTATCACAATAAAACGATGTTATAAAATGTAGTTCAGCTTCATTCAAGTAATCTTTAGGTAAATGGGATAAAATAGAAGAAAGAGCATCTATGCCCTTCTCACGTATACTGACACTTTTGTCAGTAACAAAAGGCCCAAGTTCTTCCACAACTGTATGCAGTTTTACATGCCCAGATTGTATCTCTAAACAAATGAAAATGTTTGCAAACGTTTTGAAGTAATAAACATTGTTACTTAAAGACAGATATAATGTTATTTGAAATCATCATTTTCCATTTTGACTTTATATAAAATTCGCTTCTAACTTCGACATATCATCAACAAGTTCTTATTCTGTATGCCTGTGGGGTCAGGTTTTATTTACTTCGGACATCAAGGCCAATCATCTATACATACTGGAAGAACAATTATAGTATTTAATACCCACCTGAGGCGATCTCTTGGCATGTCGTATTTAGTGTCTCGTTTTTTTCAAAAGCAATAAGAAATCTTTCTTTAGAAACAGTACTTGCAAGCGAAGCCATCTCAAACCATGCCTTCTTGTTGGGTTACTTAACCTCAGTGTAACAGTAAAATCTGTCGTTGTTTAGGAAGTTTATAATAAACCCTTTCTATTCTAACATTTAGGGTCTAATTCGAGAAAAGGGTAACTGTACGAAATTGTTCCATCATGTGTAACACGTGTCAATGAATTATTGACTCTATCTGAAGACTCAGTGGTACAATTTATTTAGTTTAACTTTGAAATTCATTTATTATTCGTTCATATTAAAGATCTACCCCTTTACAACAAATCCATGTGACTGCGTGTGATTTTTAGACGAACTTCGCGTGCGTACGGTACAGTAGGGGTTCTATAGAAATTTTACCCCTAAATCTGATGACGAGCTGTTATCACAGTAGGGGGTGCATTAGATTTAGACCCATTAGACTTTTAATAGAAGTTCTTGGCGAGATAAAAGACACGGAAAATGGCAGTGGGATACCGATAAGTTTTTAATATATGGGGCAAACTAAGCTGTTATCGGAACTCTATTATATTCATTAAAAAGAACAACCTATTGATTTCGAATTCAAAATCGACTAAATTTTGTGTTATTACTTAAATAGTTGAAAAAGAAAGCAATTTAGTGTAATGTTTTCTTATTTGAAGATCTGGAAAATCGAGAAGAACGCTCCTGTTTGGCATAAAATAAACCAATGAGAGATTCATCATTCATCACGTGACAAGCAAGTCACCTGAAGTCACCATTGTTGTTGCAACGGTGCTGCTTTAACGTGACCGATACAGATTATTACGTACACATACGTGCCGTGTGGATACTTCAGGTTAGGTTACTGAAAACGCGATTAAAGCGCCTCTAATGGTACCGATTTGTGATGCAGTGGATAAGATGGACGAAAATGGCATGCGAGGTGTTGTTAAATTTCAGTGAAATGTTTGGTCATTCCAGCCACCTAAGATGGGAGGCTGCATAGGTTTAACGAGGCCGAGGAACGCCTCCGTTGACGATACTACAGGAAACTCGTCGCGGGTAAATTCAGGTACATGTATGATCAAAATCGAGTGCGTAGAAAGTTGAATCAACAGCGGACTAACCTTGAAGATAGTCGAGCTTTTTCTCTTACCTTCGTACCCAACGTTTATTGCGTGTTATCATTCGGTATTTGCATATTATTTGTTGTACAGCTTTTCTCGGATGATTAATTGTCACAGCATACAATATCGTATTGTTTTGTCGTGGATATTGAGCGTAAACTTTTGTGTAGAATAAATTTGTCGTTTCTGTTCATCCTCGGAAAATATTTGCATTTCATGATTGTTTGTTGTCAACCTTTTCAAATATATAACACTGTGGGAACTTGTAATTTTTGCGGAAGTATGCAATTCGTGTTTGTTGCTGCATCACAACATTTTGTTTATACAGGAAATTCAAGGAAAAATCATCCTCTATGCCACGAAGTAATAAGGTGGAAGTCGGATGTACCATTGACTGAAGGACAGCTTAGAAGTAAAAGAGATGAATTTTGGGACACAGCACCTGCATTTGATGGTCGTAAAGAAATATGGGATGCATTGAGAGCTGGGGCAACTGCAGCAGAAGCTCAAGATTATCAGTTAGCACAGGCTATATTGGACGGAGCTAATATTTCTGTACCAAATGGTTTTTTGACAGAATGTTACGATGAGTTAGGAACCAGATATCAAGTCCCAATTTACTGTTTATCTTATCCTATTAATATTGTGAAAGAGGATAGTGGAAGAGACTCTCCTGCAGATTGTTCAGGTGACACGATTAAGTTCATTTGGAAAAATTTATTACCTTATCATTCATATATTTGTTTGTAACATTATTTTATTAATTATCCATAGAACCCGTCGATAGCGGAGTTGAACAGACACTAAAGCTGAGACTATCAACTACATCCGGTGAAGTAAAATTGCCTGTTTATAGCAAAGATACCATTGCTATTGCTAAAAAGAAATTGCAGGTGCGTATAAAGATTTTGTATATTGTGTATAGTGTATTAAGCAGGTATCATTGATTCATTTTCTTCTTTTATTAATTGTGCTAATAGAGCCAAGAAGGTTTAGAACCATCTCGTCAAAGGTGGTTTTTTGGTGGAAAATTATTAGGTGATAAAATGCATATAGAAGAAGCAAAGATACAGCCTGGTTATGTAATACAAGTAATTGTAAATCCTGAAAAGTTGGATGACAGTCCAATGAAAACAAGCTGAACTACTGTATATGTAAGATACAAGTCACATTGAACCAACCTTTTTAGTAAGCACTATCTTACACACATTCAAGTAAGAACACTTTTTTTTTTTAATTTTATATCATATGATTGTTAAGGGTAGAGCAGCAATTCTTAAAGTGATTTTTTTACAATAAAATGCACTTACAATTCTCATAATATACATAAATGTTATAAGGATTAAATACTGTTTCATTTAAATTGTAGGTTGTGATTATTTAATTTTTGTTAATTTATATTAGATCAAAGAGAAAGCATTTCAAAGTGTCAACTATACAAGAACAAACTACTAATTGGTTTCAAGTTCAATACGTGTAGAAAATAAAATGGGAAAAAAAAGTTTTAAAATGGCATTTAATTCACAGCAGGAAGAATAATTATGCTCTAATTCTGATATTGTCACATTTATTTGTTACTACCAACGAAGGTGCTGTAACACTGGAGAAACTAAGTATACATGTAGAAAGATATTCTGTGCTGCTTATTGTACCATGTTGCACAATGATATAATGTAAAAAATAAGTCATATATTTAAAGAAAATTATTATAAAAATAGTAACAATAACAATAAGAGAATTACATAAATTACTGAATATAAGGAAAACATCAATGGACAATAGAGAAAAAAAAAGAACAAGATACTATATGCTGTTTGTTGCAGTGAATTTCTTCTTTCTTACAAATTCTATTTTCAAAGCTTCTTTCATTTGGAATAAATCATTACAATTTTTATTAAGATCAAATTCGTAGGAACAATTACTAATGTCGTATTATCCTTGCATAATAATATAGGGCATAACATTTTTTTTAACACTTTGTGTTTGACTCAGTTTTTTCAATTTTTGTAAATGGATTTTGAATATTTATAAGTCATAAGTTTGAATCATTTAAAATAAGAGCAAGTGGTTGGGCCTATCAATGGCCTAAAAATCTACGATTCCTTCCTGTAAGTACTAATAGGATATTGTATAAGATATTCAAAGTCGAAAAATAATAGTGCACAGAGAAGAAAACATAAGACTAATATTGAAACACATGTGGCGCAGAACGTATCATTTTTACACAGTTTTATCGTGCGCAATCGTTTTCACGTATCTGTGTTATTTCTGCTTACGATAAAGAGTTTAACACGAGAACAGTACTGCAAGTTCAATTTTAAAAGGCACCTGGTTCTTACATCTGCTCCACATGTTGCACAAAAAAAAAATTATTATTTGTTTAAAGTATAACTATATAAAGGTGGCATATTATGCGTGTGAATTTGTTGACTGTACTAATACGACGGTGATACAGTTTGTTTCTTATATGCATTGATCATAAAATTATATAGTATTGCGTGTGGGTGTATGTATAATACATAATATATAGAACGTATATATGTACACAGATACATATATAAGTTCCACTATTTTCAATTTGATTGTCAAAACAAGAATGTGTAATCTTATAAATAACTTATTTATAAATCGGGTAATCACGTCCAAGTTGATAATACGAAAAATGACTGGAAGAAATTGGTAAAAGTGTTAACACAGAAGTGTATAAAACCCTGTTCAGATAAAACAGAAAGTTTCATGTTGTCTGCGATGTATTTTTTTTTTATATATATAATCCGAACAGTGCAAGGGAAAGGAGCACTTGTTTTCAATCTATAAATTTAAGTATTCCACATCGATATACTATTCTTCTCTTTGCTAGATCACAGTGTTTAAGAATTGCAAGTTCTTTATACAAAGAAACAAACTTTTTTTTGTACAATAATATATACTAATGCATCAGCAATATGCAATAAAAAAAAATACTTTTGGTTTAATACTATATTGCTTAAAGTATTATTTTTTTATGTTCATAAATACAAAGATTGAAATGGTAATTTAGCATTTATCGAGAGACAATTTGTTACCAGAATGTAATTAAGGACATAGGATTCTCAAGTGGAATAACAAATTCTATCAGACTGATATTAGTTTCACTATATAGTATTTGGGTTACTTGCAATATGTAAAAGAGACTGCATTAAGTTCTTTTTAATTGATGTTCGAACCATATAGGAACATGTTGTGCATAGTATAAATTACATTACTTATACTGCACATGTATTCATGCAAAGGTTTTATTATAAATGTTGTGCTTCTTTTTAATGCGTGTAATTCCTATTTGTACGAGTGATAAAAAAAAAATAATTTTTTCTTTAATACTCATATCCGTGAAATATTGAATAAAAATAAAAATGTGATGCGGCGCTATTGCCATACAAGGAAATGAGAGTGAATGTAAATAAAGAGCATTACAATAACGAAAGTGCAATTCAAAACGCCTAATAAATATTGCTGCTGCTTTATATTAATGTTGCTGTGTTGGACCAATGCATACAAGGCGTTTAAACAAAAGAAAAATCAAAGAATGACTGATTGAAGGATTAGGTAGAACAACTGCCAATACAATAAAAATGAATCTGAATTCACTATGTTGCTAATTGGAAGTTATTAGAAGATATTATATTATGATATTACGAAAAAACTTTTGGAATGCTAAAACAAAATATTACTGTAAGTAGGTAGCAATTATCAATTAAGCAGGGTTTACACATTTTTAAACTAACGGAATATTACTACTGAACTATTTAATATTACTTACCAAAGCTGGTTTTTGAAATTAGGTGCTAATAACCGACATCATTTAATATTTGATATCTGCTCAAGCACATGAAAAAAGGGGAAATGGATATTAGTAGTCAGTTCATTCCGATTTAAAATGTAGAAATAAAATCCAGTCAGGTCCGTGAGATATTGTAATCCTATAATAACGAATTATGCAAAAAAGAAAGGCAAATATTACAGAGATAACATAATTTGTTTACTATTATTTTTAGGATAGGTATTTATTCGTTCTTTATAAACATGAAATTGAATATACTTACAAAACGATATAAGATTACTTAAACTTTGATATTCCAATTGTAGGTATATTACTTTAAAATACACATGTGTAAATTAATTTCTATGAATATTGATTATTATAGCTTAATGCATTGTCAAATAAAGCATAATGTTGTGAAAATGTCATACTATTCTCCCATCAGTTCCTAATTCGTAGAAAACTCTTACACATTTACAAGTTTTTGTAAGGAAATGTTTTATTTGTAGTTTCATTTAACAACATACTTTAAGTATTTTAATTCGTGACACAGCCAAATCATTGTGCTTAAAACAAAAAGACTGCCAGATTGGTGAGATGCGGCTAGTGCTAAAGGCACGTGATATAATAATGTTGAAATGCCTAGTAAAACTTGTAAATAACCAGCGCAAAGGACCGCAGCTACTGCTTTCTTTGCATTTCCAGGAAGTCTGTATCTACGAGATACAATTCCAATATAAGTTATTAGCGACAATGTGGTGATACCCTGTAAGAAAGTATAGATTATAATACTAATTAAATGATGCAGTATGACTTTCATCTTTAAATCATACCAAAATTCGGTGATCAAATTGTACAGCAGTTGGATTTTCAGTAAAATTTTTCCATTTAGGCGATACTGCGAGTATATCGTCCGGTATCCATTTATTTGCCATTTTCGGGAATGTATTATAAATAAGACCCGCATCCATTCCCGCGACAAAAGCACCAGACAAAGCAGTCAGAAACACTAATCCTTTCGTCGAGTGGACTACCATTCTAAATCTTTTCAGTTTTTGTTTTACATGATTTATATTAATGGTCGAAGCATTAAGATCTAACTGCTTCGCGGGAAGTAAATAATCTAAAGCATTATACAGGAAGCCTGTATATATAATAAATGCCATTCCTAAATGTGCAGCCAAGCGGTACTGTGAGACTCTGGGAACGTCTGATGGCTCTGCAAACCGATCCTCCAAACCAGATTTAACCATGTACCAACCCATTAGTCCTTGTAAACCAATTAATGATCCCAGAACAGCTACTCTGAGTTTCATTCCTGGTTTTAGCATACCCTTCGTCCAAAAATAGGTTGCAGGAACTATGAATACTGCACCTATCAAACGTCCCCACATTCTGTGCAAGTATTCCATCCACCAAATCCGTTTAAATTCTTCCAATGTCATATCGTGATTTGTTCTAGAATAGAAATTATAACAAGCAGAATAATATTATGAAGCTCCTATTGGCACAGTATCATGAACTCTTACATTTTGTATTCTGGAAATTGTTTGTAACGTTTGAATTCAGTATGCCATTCACTTTCACTTGTAGGCATTTTTTCGCCTAGTAATTTCCAAGTAACCATTGATAAACCCGATTCTGTAAGTCTTGTCATACCCCCTAAGTACATAGGAAAGGAGAAATAACTTATTGTATATCTTTTGAATGTACTTTATTCATACACTATGCTACGCAAGAACTTAACTATGTACTTAGTATAAAAGCTTAAAAAAACAAATAATGTAGAAAGTATGGAAGTATACTTTAAAGTATTGCCCGAACCTTAAGAATTATTTGCCATATGTTTTGTCCACAACAACTTTCATAACAGTACATACACAATAATACAAGAATAAATAACCAATTGTACCTAGAACTACAGCTATGAAAACCATGCCACTGCAAGTTAACATCCATTTTCCTACAATTTTGTCTGATTTGTGGGTTGATTTTGAGGCAAGACTTACAACTATTATGTTCCTTTGTTTGAGTAAATTCTACAAACAAGCATTATGTTAGCCTTCCTTTACATTACGAATGAATGAATGAATGGTATGTTACTTGAAAGTTAATAATTAATACCTTCTGTAAACAAGTTGGGTTTCCTTTAATTAATACAAATACCTTCTGTGTAATTGTTTGTTTTGGAGTATATCTATACAAACTTTGTCTAAATGGTAAAAATCGTAGGGCATTGCTTCTTCCGACAGTTGAGACACAATGTTTTGTTAAACTGAACATGCTAAAAAATAATTATAATTATTAGCACATTGTAAAAATTACGCGCTCCATTGAGAGCATATAATTGTATAAATATATACATACTTACATTGCAATATTATATGTTCACGTTCAATAAGAATACCTTTTCTTTTTTCTATATGTACCTCTGTACAAGAGTAAAGTGTGAACAAACAATAGTGAACACTTTACATGTTTTCGGGATAAAATTTACACCTAAACATAAGGAATATTATAACGTAAATGAAAAAAATCTTGCAAAAGACCAAATGAATTTCATCACTTGTCAATGGTCTACAAAGTTCCGACAATTAGCAAAGCAATTGTATATAACGTCATAAAATGTGGACTGAATCTCACACATAAATAGTAAATTGAATTATTTAATCGTGTACATGTATAAAAAGTCCTCGTGAAAAGAAATTTACTGTGAATCGTAACAATGTAAAAAATTTTTGTTACTCGAACCGTAATCTTACAATTAAATGGATCATGAACATATATAAATTGATACATGAAACTTATTTTAATATATTTTAGGTTGAGTTTTCTAAATATTACAAAGGGTGTCATATCTAACCTCGAATAAAACTATTGGTGATATTTAAAATGTATACAAGTTCATTCAAAGTTAGAGTTTAATATACAGTCAATCTTTATGAAAAACAGAAGTTTAATTCTTCGATGTTTTTGTCAAGTATTCGATAAGATAATCGTATTACGATAAGAGGAGAAGTATCAGTCTCGTGAGTATCTACCAGTACCAGTGAGTACTGAAGACAGGGCGGTTGACATTTTTCCCGTACAATTACATTTATTTGTACGTGTGCAATAACTCCTTTTGTACCTTCAATTATATGGTATTAACTGAGATAACATAGAAAAAATACTATCATCCGTCCTTAATTACAAGGTAATGTAATTGTTACATATTGAATTAATCAACTATATTCTATTTCTGCATAATTATAAGTTACTAAGAAATATATTATTACAGTGATATCAATATGGCACGGAGAACTGGTGCAATGAAATTAGCCAAACTTCGTGAACTGATGGAAACTGTTCCAGTTGGTGGTATTAAAGGAAAGGGTATCCAAGCTCTGATTGTAGATTCAGTGGATGCTCATCAGTCAGAATATTTGAGAAAACGTGATAAAAGAGTACAGTTCATCAGTAGCTTCACTGGCTCTTTTGGTACTGCAATTGTTACACCAAATGAAGCTTTGTTATGGACAGATGGAAGATATTACATGCAGGCTTTAGCAGAATTTGATCCACCGGAAGCTTGGACACTTATGAGAGAAGGTTTATTGGATACTCCGACAAGAGCAGCATGGTTGGTTTCTAATTTACCACCTAAATCTACTGTTGGTGCAGATTCCAATTTAATGAGTTATATTGACTGGGCAGTTTTACATGCCAGTTTAACTGCTGCTGGTCATTGCTTGATGCCACTCGACGAGAATTTAATCGACAAAGTTTGGGGCGATGAACAGCCTGGCGCTACAGATAATATTGTTTTACCACAACCACTGAAGTTTTCAGGGTCTACTGTAGGGGACAAAGTCAGGATTTGCAAAGAAGATATGAGTAAGAACAAAGCAAAAGCGCTTGTAATCACTGCTTTGGATGAAGTAGCATACATTTTAAACTTAAGAGGATCCGATATACCTTATAATCCTGTTTTCTTTGCTTACGTCATTCTTACATTAAACGAGTTACATTTGTTCATTGAAAAGAGCAGAGTTAACGAAGAAGCTCAGCAACAGCTGACAGATGAAGGGGTAAATGTAGTTTATCATGCGTACAACGATATACATGTGTTTCTGAAGGAAATTGCAAGTTCATGTACAAGCGATGAAAAAATATGGATAAGCAATGGTTCTAGCTATGCTTTACACACCGATTGCGGTGAAACGAAAAAACATGTTGCTATTACACCGATAAGTGTTATGAAAGCTATAAAGAATGACGTCGAGATAGAAGCAATGAAGGCCGCACACATTCGGGACGCCGTTGCGCTCGTAAAATACTTTGCTTGGTTGGAAGATCAGATTAAAAATAGGAAGGAAATTATTACAGAAGTATCTGGAGCGACGCGGCTTGAGAAATTTAGACAGTAAGAGGATTGCATAGAAAATTACAAACTTTGGGTATAACAAAAATTATTGACGGTATGTTTTATGTGTAAGGGAACAGAAATATTTCAAGGGACTCAGCTTTCCAACGATATCCTCGGTTGGACCTCATGGTGCGATAATCCATTATTTACCAACAGCCGAAACAGATGTACCGATCACTGACAAAGAATTGTATCTTTGCGATTCGGGTGCGCAATACCAAGATGGTACCACAGATGTCACGAGAACGTTACATTTTGGTAATCCTACAAGTTTCGAACGTGAATGCTTTACAAGAGTATTCAAAGGGCAGTGCCGTCTCTCCAGGACTATCTTTCCTTTAATGATACAAGGAAATTATCTTGACACACTTGCCCGTGAGAATTTATGGAGTGTAGGGTACATATATTTGCTTTGCTTATAAAATGAAAAATATAATTTATTCATATATTAAATGTACAATTACAGTCTTAATTATCTTCATGGTACTGGGCATGGAGTGGGTTCATATCTTAATGTTCACGAAGGGCCAATTGCCATTTCTTGGAGACAATATCCTAATGACCCAGGCTTGCAACCTGGCATGTTTCTTTCAAATGGTACAAATTATGAGTATTATTAATATTTTCATTATATGTTTTATCAGTATTCATACAACTGATGATGTTAAATAGAACCAGGATACTACGAGGACGAGAAGTTTGGCGTTAGACTCGAAAATATAGAATTGGTAGTAAAGGCAAATACACCATATAATCATAAGAATCGTGGTTTCCTTACTTTCGAGACCGTTACACTGGTGCCTATACAGACAAAGTTACTCGATGTTTCCTTATTAACGGACGATGAGGTAAACTTCTTTCTTGTATTTTAGTTATGATATCATAGTATATGTTAGATAATGTGAGTTTTAATTTGTTCTAGATCGAATATTTGAATAATTACCATGCAAAGTGTTTGAATATCTTAAGACCTCTATTGCAAGGACTAGAGAATGTAAACGCACTTGAATGGCTAGAAAGAGAAACTAAGCCAATTTCAAAATGACAATCAATTTGAAGAAACAAATTCTAAAAAAAATGCATTTCTTATTTTTTATAAATATAATACATAATAAACTGTTTCTGTAATTACACCTTTCTCATTTAATTCCACTGTGTAATATATTTAAAATGTTTAAAAGATAATATATCAAAGATCACCAGAGTAGCCATGGTGGCTGATGTATTTTGTCCAAAGAACTATAAGTTAGGTTGACTGGGATATTGATCAAGGCAATTTACTGTCTTCGAGGATGGAATAGAATGATCACGTATCATCTCTACATAATAGTAGTCTGCCCATAATTGATTAGTGGTTGATTCTTCTGTGGAAGGTGAGTAAAAGTCTGATATGATCACAGCTTTTGCACCAGCTTCTTCGGCCATCATGCTCTTCAAAAAGAAACTACAGTTCCCTCTTTCGATCAGAGCAACTCTACCTTTTAATTCTTTGGCATTCTTTGCTATTTGGCAGCCTTGAGGAGGTTCAGTTGGAACCAATGGAATCCGTTCCTCCATGAAGCTTGCATTCTGGAAGTATAGTACACATGACAAACAACTTCAATGTGTACATAATAAGTAAGAGGATACCTACAAAGGAGGCTCCAAAATCTTTAGCAGGTCTTAATTTATATGTATACTCCAGTTCCGGTGGATGGATAATTTCAAAGAATACATCTGTTCCGAAACTGGTGCTCAGAAAGGACTCGCTCGTCTTAAATTTAAACAAATGTCCTAACAAATTTTTAGTGATAAACAGTAACTATAGTAAAGTAGCATTCGGTAACCTGATTTCATCGTGTCGGTACCAACCTTCGCTGATTCCACTCGATATTTTAATGTCGAGTAAAACAAGAATGTAGAGAGAACCAAAAAATCTCATGTTTTGTATTTGCATGATAGTGTTCACATTGTTGCTAATTACATTACCACAAATATGTTAGGAAACTTAATCTCTGACATAACTACCATTTTTTCCTACATATTTGTATACATATACATATATATATATATATATGTACACCGACTAGGTATAGGATAGACTTATCATCTTATGGGACTTCGTGTCTCATGTTCTGAAATACCGATAGTGTAAAAAGTCAGGGATTTTGTACTGCCCTCTACTTTCTCAAAAGTGAATGATAATTAATAATAATAAATCGAAGAGAACGCTGTCACATGTGATGAACGGATTCTCCTCTGTCCGTTCGTCGTAAACGTATTAAAAAAAGGTCGTCTCGGGATTCCGGGAATCTGGTGATGTCACGGCGTGCGAGCGAGCCGTCGTATCGGTGCTCTCCGTCGGTGTTGACGCGTGCCGAGAAATTTCGGTAGTTTATGGGTGGAGGTGTGCGAGCGAGAGAGTACGGTAGAGCGTGCTGCGGTATTGGTGCTCTCCGTCGTACCATCCGTTACTTGCTTACTTTCTCGTGAGCCGTCGTGGAGACGGCTCACGAGACATTTCTCTTGTTACTAACCCATTGTTTGTTACAGGCATTCGACACTATTTCACATATTATTAATTTATTTACTGTGCATATTGTTGTGTCCTCTCTCTTGTTACTAATCCCTTGTATGTTACAGATGTTCGAGAACCATTGGCTTCGATATTTATCTTCTTGTGTACTGTGATTCATTTACTGTGATTTATTTACTGTGCATATTCTCTAGTAGCCCCCCCCCCCCTTACCTCAGTAATGAGGGATTTTAGTACCGATAGTATTAGATAGTTAAGATATAAGTTATTTATAAGGTTTATTGTGAAAGGTGGGAAGATGTAGAACTTGTGATTCCATCTACCTGCCTTGGGCCTCCACTGGCAGCAACCTCCTCGTGGTGAGGCCTGGGCAATCGGTATTATCATCGGTAAAGTACTGTAAACTGATGACAATATCGAGCTAATGGCTGCGAACTTCGAATATATCTCATAAAACCACGTTCTATATTACATCGAACTAGGATTATTCTGAGAAACGATATAAGATTGAAAGTTTTGTAAGAGTGTCTAGTATTTTGAATGTTTCAATAAATTATTTGAGATAAAGATACATGAAACTGTTGAAGATTACTTTAAATCCCTTCCCTTATTCTGTATATCGTTCGATTAGAATACAATAGTTGCTGGAACAATGGACATTTTGACAGGATACTGGTATAAATGGAACTTTGACAGTTTTCTAAGTTTCATTTGTTTGAGTTGGCTGAAATTCTTAAATATTACATCATTATTATCTTAAAATCTTAACATCATTTATTTACAATAATTTTATTTGTTGCGAGAAGTTATATAATGAACTTCAACCCAACTAGAGCTCAGTTGACTAAACTTCCACAATATTGCCAGGTCTGCATTTTCTTCATTTTCTCCATAAAGGAAAGCCTTTACATAGCCTAAAATACCACTAGGCATTGTAGATCAATGTTTTCCATCTAAAACGAATTGAAATAACAAATTTTCGAAGATAGCCTGGGATATGTACGCGGTTCAATTCATTCATTAGTCGTAGGGTACATCGGAATGTAAGTTTTTGAAAATTGGTCGAACAGAGGCACTAAACATATGGCTCTGGCATTGTTTACAACCATCGGAGTGCTGCGAAATGAAATTTCTGAGAAATCGTCCTTGTGCGTCTGTTATTCTGTTTGGGGTGGGTCAGTGCTCGTTGAGCTAACCGAAGGTATACGCAAAAAAAAAAGGTCGTACCGGCGTATAATGTGGTACTGAATATTCTATTTCGTTAAACTAGAAATTGAAGTGGGGCGGGGAGGACAGCTACCCCCACCCACCGAACCTCCAATAACGATGCCCCTAAGATAGCCGAATCAACACATCGCGAGCAGTCAAAGACGTCCTAAGGGTCATTCGTCTCGCACAAGTTGAAGTGACAAGACGTGAAGTGAATTCGCTCCCATCGAAGTGTACGTGATCTTTACTTTTCACATCTAATCATTTATACCAACTATTAGTGCCTTCGTTATTTCTTTATCGTTACTTTCGTTTAATATTTATTCAATTTCGAGTAAATTATCGTAAATTAATTCGATATTACGGGACAAAGTGATCGGTTTTCACGATTTTCTTTATTTACGCTGTAGTATATACGCATTTCTGATTCCATTTACAATCTTTTACGGCACACCTCGAATACAATAGTTATTTATTTGTAACGAAATTGTAATTTAATGTAATTGCTTGGTTTAAACGCGTTTATTCTCTGTTTCAGAGGACCGGTTGGAAAGGACGTGCCCCCTGACACCATGGCAGTAGCAACACTCCGGAAAATTGGTAAAA